CAGAGCCTTGCAAGGGTGGGTACAGGGTTGACAACGGACTCCCCGACAGTAAGAGAGCCCCCACCCCCACCCCCACCCCCAAATCGCTGGATATGACCATTTCTGTTCTGAAGACATATTCATATATATCATATATATATATATATATATATATATATATATATATATATATAAGTGTATATATTTGCTACGCGCTTCTACGTTCTATAACTGAAATATGAGCTAGACGCTACCTCGATACCAAGTCTGCCGACGTTAATAGTAAATCAGCTAAGAAAACCATGCGTTCAACGACTGCATGAGAAAATCACCGGCACACCCCACTTTAAAATGGTCCAGTGGACTCTTTTAGAACCGAAAGAACTCAGAAATTTGTCAGAACTTTTATCTGGGTTGCATAGAGATGGCAAGGATTTCGCGAAGGTAGATTGAAGATCAAAATGGGTCAACACTTTGTATCAACATGACCAAACCATGTTTGTCTGGATATGTTCAACACTCAACCAGAATGTGTCAGTGGTAACAGTTATGTAACGCAGTTTTGAGCATGCGCGCTCACATAGCTTAGTAACAAAAACTCGATGTCGGGCGTTGCAGTCTCCTTAAGTCGCGCAAGGTCGGCCCGTGGCTAATACGAGGTTGTGGTCAGCGGGTGGACGAAAGTGGTGACGCATCTGAAAGAAGCACTTTTTAACGCTTTTGGACACCAAATCATGCTACTAGAAATATTACGGGCGCATATTTCATCTGTGTGGTTTTTAGTTTGATGACAATAACGCTTCGGTCTTTGTAGAGCCGCGAAGTGGTGCTGGAATATGGCGGTGGAACTAGAAGAGTAAAGGTAAAGTCTCTATTTTGCGTGCTGCTGTAACTGTTAATCTGCCCAGGAACAACCTCAAAGTTGTAAAAATCGCCCTGTGTAATCTTTGAATTGTTTGAATAAATTTTGAAAGACACTTCTAAACATTATTATACGATGGTCATTGTTGTGCGCTCGGCGCCCGCCCCCCGGCCTTACTCGCAGTGGCCAACGACGTTCGTTTTCGCCGAAACTGCCACCCAAGCCACCGCCGTCCATGCTCCCCGAGATTATCGGTGCAAGAAATCATCTTACTGGCATTTGAGATCACGGTCCTGTGGGCGGGGAATCTTATCGTGACTTACAGCCAGCTCTTCGAAGTCTTCAGCTATCCCATCGAGCCCTTGACCTTTGGTCCCGAGAGACCATTTGGTCCGTCTTCGGGCCCCCTCAAACACCGCTCCGACTCGGGGCCACTTGCCGGCACAGGACCCCTGTGAGGCGCTGTGGCCTCTGACCGGCACAGGAGCCCCTCACTGTGTCAGGGACCCCAAACATTGCAAAGCGCGGACCCCGGCCTCGTTTCTGCTTGGGAAATGGGTTTTAAAGGCGCAAACGAACATGAGCAAGACTGTTGGGTGTTCGCGGCCTCTGGCCGACTTAGAAACCCGCATTGTCTCAGGGGTTCATCAAACTGTGCAAGAGGACTTCTGACTGATATTTCAGGCCACGACCCTGGCTATGATTTTTTGTGTGACTTACAGCCAGTCCTTTGGGCTCTTGTGCTCTCCAACTGGGCCTTTGAGCGTCAGTTCCGGTGGTCCGCCCGGGCCCATCTTCGAGCCTCATCGAACACCTCCCTTGATCGGCTCGGGGTCCCTTGCGAGCACAGGGCCCTGCGTTATGCGCTGTGGGCCCCTAACAGATGCAAGGTCCCGACCAGTGCAAATCACTGGCCCCGGCTTTACAGCTGATTGGGAAGTGGGTTCTCAGGCAGATACTAACACGAAGCCAACTATGTGGTACGGTGATACCCTACCAACAGATAGGCCCATATTGACTCAGGGATCACCGATTGGCGCAAAGGGTCCTATGTCCGTTATTTGAGGGTGCGTCTTCGCAGGTCGGGGCCCCTGAATAAGACTCCGATCAGGTCTTTATGCTCTTAGACCCTCCAATCGGGCCCTTGATCGTCGGTCCCGGTGGGCCCCCAGGCTTTTCGGGCCTCCTTGAACATTGCCTCTGGCAGACTCGAGGCCCCTTGATAACACAGTGTCCCTACTAGATGCTGTGAGCCCCCGAGCAATGTAAATCACTGGCTTCGGCTTTGTCCCTTTCTGGAAATGTGCCCTTAGGTCCATGCCGCCACAGAGCCGACTGTGCGTTGCTGGTGGCGTCTGACCGAAAAAAGGTCCTTACCGACCCGGAGGGCCCTGATCAGCGCGTAGGGCCCTCTGGCTGGCACTGGAGTGCCGGCCCTGCGGGCCGAGACCCCTGAATTAGACCTCCGTCTGACCTTTTGGGCCCTTCGCACCCTCAAATAGGCTTTTAATCGTGGGCGCCGAAGGGTCCTTCGGGCCTCTCTGAACCAAGGGGGATGTACGTGCCCCCTGTGCCCCTAACCTTGCCTGCGCTACTGGGTACGTCTGATTTGATCGGTAATGCCGGCCTTTTCTCAAAATCCTGAACAGTTTAGAATTTTGTTTTGAAGTAGCTGCTCCTGGCGGACAAATGTCATATGAAAAAATCACGTTTGACACCCTGCTCACCACTATGAAAATCATATCTTTTATTTGCCCTGATTTTCCAACGGATATGTTGTGTAATGTTTGCGGCACAAAATTGGCATAATGCTTGCGTGAAAGACATTACAAAAGCGTGAAACACCGTTAAGGGAAAAATGAATGTAATAATGAGTTTTTTTTTATCTGGCAAGCACTGCGTCCTGATGAGTAGCAGCGGTTTGCGTGTGGTGCTATCACCAGAACGTGGAGCTGGTGGTTGGATCTCTTGGCCTGTGAGATGTCCCTTAAAAGGAAATACTGAGTCACGTCGTGTGCAATGTGCATAGGGAATACTGCACGACGCAGGAGTGTGAGAAATGTCTGCGCTTAGGATGGTGTGCGACCGTTTTTAATTGGCGCAATAAATGCGCAAACAGAGAACAGTTTGGATTCGGCCAATGAAATCAGATTAAGCCAGTGGTGAGCACCAAGTTTACGGCCCAGCAGCAACGTAAATGTTTCGATGGCCTTTAATTAAAACGACTGCCCGAGGACGGAACTGTTGATTGAAGGATGATATTAGACTTTTCAATAATTTTTGTTATTGAGAAGTCTAAGATGACCAAAAGTTTAATTTAAAGAAAGCTTTCTTCATCTAAGACCGAGCTCAGCAGTTTCATTGCGATGCACCATAATGCACGCTGCATTCATTCCTTCGTGGTAATGTAACCAGAACCTGGGCAGGTAACGCATGAAAGTTATTACGTGCCGTCAGACGCGATGAAGCACGATACTATTGCAACCCATGCATTTCTACAGTAGGTGCCTTTTACAGGAAGCGAAAAGCCTCATGTCAAATATGGACAGGGTGTGTTATTTTTCAGAGCGATCAGCTGCACAGTACAACAGGTTCAAGCATCTGAACACTTATTTTATGGGGAGGACTTGGGCGTGGAGTGCAAGGGGCATCGCGTTGTCATATCCCGTGGGCTCTTACGGCGGGATTGGGGACCTTGGAAAGAACTCTTACGGCGGGATTGGGGACTTCGCGGCTAGTGCCAGCCTGTCGCGCCTCCATTCCGATCATGTTCTCTCTGCTGAGAAGCTGCGCCAGTTACCGCGAGGCAAGGCTAATTTGCGGGCGGTGTGTTTCTTCGTACCAAATGGGGAAGCCCTGCGAGAGGGGGATGAGCGTACCATCAGCTTGGCCACGCCCAAGACCGTCAAAGGAACTCACAGATTCACAGAGTAACCCCAGTGAGTGCTCAGACTGTCATTGTTTGTGAGTTAGATTCAGGCGTTGGGAGGGAAGTAGCAGTCGCTTGATTTCAATAGTTTTGATCAGTTAGAGTAAGTTAGACTGGGTCAATGGCGCACTGAGTCGACTTCCACGTGTATTCGAACCATCGTGTTCTTAAGCTTAGTGCTTTCTCACAATGCGCTCATTTTCCGCCGCCTGTGCGGTGAGACGCGTGAGAGATACTTCACCGGCAGCCGACGGCGGATAGCGCGAGTGAAGCGGAGTCCCTCTTAGGTACATTGCTCCAACGTTTCCGTGCTGATTACTACCTCTTGTGTGAGGGCTTATGGGTTCAAACTACGCTTTTCACGTGCAAATGAGAAAAGGCTGAAAATCGCGCAGGAAAATAGTTCTGCATGCTTTGCAAAGGCTCATGATACCAGAGCAAGTATCTGTTGTGCAATGATGATTCTGACCACGACACACACGTAGTTTAGAAGGTTTCGTTCATAGTTTTGATGTACAGGTTTCTGTGGTTTTCTCTCACCGTAGTGAACAAATCGCTGTCGGACGTAGCTCCTCGAACACACAATAGGAAAATGCCGGAAGTTGAGACCCCGAAACCGCTCATTTGGGTTAAAAAAGTGTTACGGACTGCTTAAACGCCGCTGACAACCCCTGTAATCCATTTTTATCCAAATCTGAGAGATGAGAGCGCAAAATTAACGTTTCGACCTGTCGATCCTTTGTGGAATGTCCCTCCTATCCTCGATAGTTTTAGCAGGAGGGGCTCAGAGTAAAAACTGATACTTCTCTCCCTCCTTCCACTTGCGCACTTTTTCAACACACACGTTTGAAGAAAATCGTAAAACCATAACCACAGCTCGCATCCATGCCTCAAAACTGTTGGTGAAACAGGCTCCAAATGCAGATGCCCCTGCCACCTAGGGTAAAGCAAATGTTCTACAGCTGTTAATTCTCTACAGAGATGTCCCTAAAATCGATATGGAGCTGCCATCTACCGGAAAAGTGTTAATGGTCTGGCCAGCGGGGCCGAGCACGGGCCAGCACGGCCAGCATCACAGGTCACGTGACTAGAGGCGGCAGTGGCGGTGGAGACGTGGGTAGGACGCTGGAGACGTAGAGATTGTTTCGGTTCGAGTGTGGGCCGTCGGCGCGCGTGCGTGGCAGTCGTGGAGCGGCGGTGCGAGGGCGCAGGGGCCGGGAGCCGCCGGAAGGCGTGCTGGTGACGCCACTGTACTGGGAGCGCGTTTCGTCTGGGCCCGGGGCTGGTGAACAGTTCAGTGTGTCAACGAAACAAGCTGAAGTGCTTGTTCAAATTTTCACGGCATTCAAGCACTAAGTAGTTCTAGGCATCGAGTATGGGCTGTAAGTATCTATGCGTCGTGAATTCGTGATATTCAGCCTGCGTTTGGAATGAAGTTTTGTTTGGTGTTTAGTGGCAGAAGGTATCCACCTGAACATCATAATTATTTGAACACCTAAACCTGACAGAAATGGTAGCAAATATGCCCCCACTGTGGTGCCTACACCTCAGCATTCCTAGCTGATGGAAGGGTTTTGCTTGATAGTTATGCTTGAAGTACCAAGTTTTGGGTTGATTGAAAGAAATAAATATTCCAGTCATCCACCCAAGTCAAGTTTGACATGAGTAAATGCATTTTGATGAGCAGGGATAATGTGGTTCAACTGACTATTTAGACATCTAATTGAGCTTGATGGGATCAAAGGCAAGCATGCTGTGATAGCTGTAAAGTGTGCTTCATGGATTTTATGGAATGTATGACTGGACAGCTGCACTTGGGTAAAACAGCCTTACCTGTGTGATGTTTAAAACCATAGTCATAAAAGCTATCCCAGGTATTTTTTGTGGGTTCCACCACTCAAGCACCTTCACATCATATCCATTTAAGGTACAATATCTACTTGCCTAATTCATATAAAATACAGGTTGGTAACTTTCTGATGATCATTCAGGCATTACCTATACTCATTCTGTGTCATGCTGCACATATGAGAATGAACTAATGTGCATGTTTACCTTTTATGTGGCTTGAATACAACTATATGATGTTTACTTATGGTATGTTTCAGTCAAATTTCTGGATGTCATTAAGCCATTTTGTGGCATACTGCCTGAAATTGCCAAACCAGAGAGGAAGATTCAGTTTCGAGAAAAGGTGCTTTGGACAGCAGTTACACTCTTCATCTTCTTAGTATGCTGCCAGGTATGTGTCTCCACTGTTTCTCTCATTGACATCAGAAAGCTTACTTTCAGCACTTTTCATAGTCATCATTTTGCTGTTGTGTTTGGTGTGAATCATGTGCTGTGGATATATGTTGCATTATTCCATTTTAACATAGACCTTTTTAGCACAGATCCTTACTAATTGCATGAATGATTTGCATGGAGCATGAAACAGGAGTGCATTTTTATTAGTGTTGTTCACATGATGCATTGGTTTTGCTAGAAGTATGTAAGTTTTAAAAAGGTCTTGAAGTGATGCTTTCTAAAGCCTTCAGGTGATCCAGATATCTTCCTTTGGGAAACTGTGTGGGCCGACTTAATAAGACAAGTGACATAAAAGGTGACTGCCAGGTAATAAGGTGTGGCATAGGACATGACATGGAGACCTGGTAGAACATGACATATGGGATGGCCCATGAGGTTAAAGGACAGCATGATTGAGATAACTTAGTTGCTGATATGGGTGACACGCAGGTGACCTTTAAGCTGGAAGACATGTCATGTGGGGAAACCTGGGAGCTGACATGTCATGATGATGGGATAAAGCTTCAGCTGATGGAACATGTCATATAAGGTGACTTGGTAACCAAACAGGCATTGCATATCATGTGGTCGTGCAGGTGTCGGCTGATATGGATATGGTATATGGGCCGGGGCACGCTCTTACAGGATATGACACATGGGTTGAACCTGTGAAGTGGCCTGTCGGACAATGCATGCCACCACCTGCCACAGATCCCTCTGTTCGGCATCATGTCGTCGGACTCTGCCGACCCGTTCTACTGGATCCGCGTGATCCTGGCCAGTAACCGCGGCACACTCATGGAGCTGGGCATCTCGCCCATCGTCACGTCCGGCCTCATCATGCAGCTGCTGGCCGGCGCCAAGATCATCGAGGTCGGCGACTCGCCCAAGGACCGCGCTCTATTCAACGGCGCCCAGAAACGTGCGTGGTGGCTCTGCTGTTGGCCCTCTCAGTGAGATAACATTGGGGTGTAGTGCTTATGTGATATTTTTCGTTGTTAGCAAATGATGATACCGATTCAAAGATGGTGGTGGTTCGTAACTTTTTCATGCCTACCTCTAATCAGTGCGCCAGAGGGCTGCTCCTCACGAACCACTCCTCAGACCATACCCCAGAAGGCTGTGTGCTGTAGCCCAGTCTTCAGGTGGTACCCCAGATGGTTATACCTTGTAGACTGCTGGTCAGACTGTACCCCAGACAGTCACAGGTCTTAGCTCTGCCTCCAAGTAGTACCACAAACGGCGATGCCTGGCAGCCCGGTCCACAGGCGTATCACGAGTGGGCGGTGTCCATGCCCTCCCGGCCGCGGTGTGACCTGTGCTCCGTCTCCGCCGCCCGGCAGTGTTCGGCATGGTGATCACGGTCGGCCAGGCGATCGTGTACGTGCTGACGGGCATGTACGGCGACCCGTACGACATCGGCGCCGGCGTCTGCCTGCTCATCATCCTGCAGCTGTTCGTGGCCGGCCTCATCGTGCTCCTGCTGGACGAGCTGCTGCAGAAGGGCTACGGCCTCGGCTCGGGCATCACGCTCTTCATCGCCACCAACATCTGCGAGACGATCGTCTGGAAGTCTCTAAGCCCGGCCACCGTTAACACGGGTGCGTGCGGTGCCGGCGGCGGCGGCGAGCTGGGCGGCCTCTCTCGCTGGAGGGGGGAGGAGAAGTGGGCGGGCGGCGCGAGCATCGGCCGCCGCGTCACGGGTGCTTCGGAAGCGAGGGAGAAGCCGGTATACCGTGCCGGCCGCGATGGTGTGCGTTGGGGCAGCCGGTCGGTGAGCTGCCGCCTCCGGCGCTGTACGTTGCGGGGCGGCGTGGGTTCACAGGGGCCATGACAGGAGGCCGGGCGGGATGGCCTGCTGGGAGCCGTCGGAGGATAGCCAGCTTTGCGGGCAACTGGACTGTATGGGCAGGATGGCGGTGGAGGCTTCCAGGTGTTATGTAGCCAGCCATCGGCGCTCGATGCCCGATATGGTCGAGGTACGCCCTGACAGCATAGCGTCTGTATCATGTGCCTTTCCTTCCGTGAGCAAGACACGCTGTGTCGAGTCCGCGAGCTTCGCCATCGGCCATGTCTTCCCTCTTGTGGTGACGCTGCGGCCCAGTCATCCTGACTTGACCCGACATGGTGCACGTACGCAGGTCGTGGCACGGAGTTCGAGGGCGCCGTGATCGCGTTGTTCCACCTGCTGGCCACGCGCCAGGACAAGGTGCGCGCACTGCGCGAGGCTTTCTACCGCCAGAACCTGCCCAACCTCATGAACCTCATGTCCACGCTGCTCATCTTCGCCGTCGTCATCTACTTCCAGGTACGACGCGCAGCGCAATGCGGTAGTGGTTGTCGCCAAAACCGCAAATAACGAGATGTACACTATTGTTAACTCGATTATTTAAAGTTTTTTTTCGCCGTGTATCTGTAACGCGGCTGGTGAATTGCGTTTACGCATCAAGCTTCTTTGGCAGAAGTCGCTTCATGTGGTTCAACATGACTGTGTGCCTGGCTGGCGGGTGACTGACAGGTGTTCGTCGTTATGGAGTGACGGCATGCGCCGTGGTGCCGCCGGGTGCCCGCGTAGCCCCCGTGGCCTGCTCGGCGCCCTGTCTGACCGCGTGGCCGTCGGTGCCGCAGGGCTTCCGTGTGGACCTGCCCATCAAGTCGGCCCGCTACCGCGGCCAGTACAGCAGCTACCCCATCAAGCTGTTCTACACGTCCAACATCCCCATCATTCTGCAGTCGGCGCTCGTCTCCAACCTCTACATCATCTCCCAGGTGCGTTCGGCGGTGGTGGCCGGCGTCCTGACGGAGCGGATCCCAGCGCTGAATATGCATGTGCCCGGTAGTGCGCTGCTGGAGGGCTCCCTTCCAACCCCCACATAAACATACATGCACGCGGCGCGAGTGCGCGCTTTCGATACCACCGGGACAGCTGGAGCGCGCGCTCGTGTACTGTCGGATCCCCGCCGTCCTGTTTCCTCTCGGGGATGGGTGGCCATTGCGGGCGGTACGGCGCTGTTTGCCATACATTGCCCATACCGTTCACTGCAGAAGGCAGGGAGGCCCGATCAGCTGCCGCCGGCTTCTCTTTCCCCCTTGTGGCCGTACTGGCGTCGTCGCCTGTCGTGGACGTTGCGTATGGGTCAGGTGTCCCAATCACTCAGTGGGCGTTGCCTCGCGCACAACCCAGCTTTGAGCGCCCAACGTCTGGTGGAAATTAGAGCTGCGTATGGTGACGAAACATTTTGCGTTGTGTTTTGCTTGATTGACGTTTGGTAGCGTGGCCCGGTTGCCTCTTTCACAAGCAAAGAAAACTGTTGCTGCAAGAAACTGTTCCATAACATTGTGTATCAGGGTCGAACCGCGCAGTCCCGCAAGATGAATGTGTGCGTGTGTAGGGGGAGGGGGCAGTGGGAACGATGTAGCCTACCCCAGAATACGTCAACAAACAAGCTTCTCCCCGAATTTTTTACAATTCTCAAAGTTGGTCGGGGGTAGTGAGGCTTAAGTGCAAGTTAGGAGCTCGAGCCCCTCCAGAGGACTAGGAAACTGCACGCCTGTACGGAGTCCTTCGTAACTCATTTTCACTCGAGGTGATTCCATGCGATGCGAGCTGGGTTTTGCTATAAATGTTGTGACCGCCGGCCATCGTCGAGATATTTTCGAGTTAATCGGATGACTGCCCTGATGACGATGCTTTTTCGTGCGCTTCATCCCCACGTTACTGCAGACGGATCTCAATTATTAACGATTTTCAGCAGTGGCGACACACATGTACAGCATTACCACGAACACACAATTACCATATTTATTAATGAAACGGACCGCCTGTGTACAGGACCGTACAGTAGATGAGATTGAGCGCGAACAGACGTCGTGTCTCCTGTGGACAGACTGTCGAAGCATATTATAGAGTCGTTTAGTAGAACATCTCGAAATACAAACCTGTCGTGGATCACATGCCGATCAATCTGAGAGGTCGCTTGTCAGGAGAAGCAGCTGCCAGAGTTTTGGTTCGCGCTGTGTATTACGATGCCTTCAGACAATTGCCTACTTGGTAATGCCCTCAGCGAATGGAACGAGTCAGTGTGGTAGCAGCGCTGCGTCAAAACCTGCTTTGAATTGTTTCGTTGGATGTAGCTTGTGAGACCTTGAATCTGTTTCAAACTGTCCACCGCGAGCTGCTCCCATGCTGAAGTGACGCAGTGCGGTGGCTGGTAGACAGTCGACTTGGAATCTGGTTGACTACCATCGTCCACCGACTTACCGCGCCACGTTACTTCAGTAGCGCAGCTGTCGGCGGTGAGCGTTTTGAAACCAGCCACAATCCCACAACAACAGCACCGTTGTGTGCGGATGTGCACTGGTATCAGAGACCACACCTGGCGGCCCCGTCCCTGTGCGGGCGGCCTTGCGCACACCATCCCTGAGTCGGCGCTCCGTTCCCAGATGATGGCCGTCAAGTTCCACGGCAACTTCTTCGTGAACCTGCTGGGCGTGTGGGGCGACGTGGGCGGCGGCGGCCCGGCGCGCGCTTACCCGATCGGCGGCCTCTGCTACTACTTCTCGCCGCCCGAGTCGCTCGGCCACATCGCCGAGGACCCCGTGCATGCCGTGCTGTACGTCATCTTCATGCTCGGCTCGTGCGCCTTCTTCAGCAAGACGTGGATCGACGTGTCCGGCTCGTCGGCCAAGGACGTGGCCAAGCAGCTGCGCGAGCAGCAGATGGTGATGCGCGGTCACCGCGAGAAGTCGATGATCCACGAGCTGAACCGTTACATCCCGACGGCGGCGGCGTTCGGCGGCCTCTGCATCGGCGCCCTCTCCGTCATCGCCGACTTCATGGGCGCCATCGGCTCCGGCACGGGCATCCTGCTGGCCGTCACCATCATCTATCAGTATTTCGAGATCTTCGTCAAGGAGCAGAGCGAGATGGGCGGTATGAGTACGCTGCTGTTCTGAGAGCGCCCACATCAGAAGGGTGGACACATAGCTGTCGTTTGGTGTCACATCTTCCTGCGGGGAGGGGGGGGGGGGGTAGGTACAATGTTTTTGTGAGCGGTACGTATCCTCAGGGTGGGAATTCTCAACTGTTCTGAGCTGCGCGTGCTGTCGAGGGAGGGGGACGCTGTGCCCTTCCAAGCGGTCCGGGCTCTGGGTGGGAACACCCAGCCGTTCTGAACGGCTCTTGGAACACACTGTCGTGCTGAGCGGTTCTTGGAACACACTGCCGTGCTGAGCGGCTCGTATTATCAGGATGGCGACAGCCGACTGCTCTGGACCGCTCAGAACGGCACGTGTTTCCTGCCCGGGAAACTCAACTGGACGTACTTCAGGCCGGGGCACGTGATGCTGTTTGGCTTATGTTGTCTGTGTCACACCGTCGATATTTTATGTCCGAAACGTATGACCTCGATGGTTCCGCGCGGGTGTGAGCGGTGAGGTGTATGCTGCCGTCCGTACCACAGGCCGGCCCGGCTGGCTGGGGCGCATCGTGATCGTTTCTCTACGGAGACTAGTCAATACGTCACCATGCGTTTTGTACGCAGGCGACATTTGCGTACGCGACATTGATTCTAGAAATACAAAGAGCTGGACGTTTGTGTCGCGTTCCGTCGCTTGTAACGCAAGCGTTATGTCATCGAACACCAATCGTACTCTTCATGCCTATATTGGCCCGCTATTGTCGAAATCAAAAGGAATGCAAAACCCTTAATATGGATTTGCAATGGTGGGTGTCTCTACTGGAAACAGATAATGGAGCGTATGGCAGATCATGCTTTAGATCCTCGCTCGTGCCTTCGGCGAGTAAAGCCAAGAATCGCTTCGCTAGCAGACTGCGGAGGCATGTACCGAGACTACAGTTATGCGCATGAGGACATGAGGCTGGGGAGGGAAGAAGTTTCCTCTGGAAGACTGAAAACTGGTTGAAGACTGGAAAAGTTAAGAAGAGTGGTCGAAGCGCTGAGATCCGTGTTGAGACGTTCAGTTTGGTTTCTGCGCGAATTTTTGCAGGTCAAGCTTTCTATTGAAGTGCGGCAAGTGTGACATCGATAACCTTACACCTCGACGCGCTAGTGGATGACATAGTTTGAAGATGGGAAAAAAGTAAACAAGAAACAGTCACGTTTGATCGCTTATTACGTGGTCAGCAGCTGTTGCCGTGCCCGATCTTGGTATACGCCATATTTTTCATGTTGTAGCTTAGTATTAAAAGCGAAGCAAACATGGAGGGTAAATTATCTTGAAATATCGACTGCGTTATGTGGGGAACGTCTCTACGGATGTTGACACGGTAATGTATGTATGTAATGTAGGTAATGTCAAATGTCCTTACCTAAAACTAAAAGTTTTCATGAATGCGCATCTGCACACGCAGTAATACGCAATTGCACCACACTTCAGCCAGGTGCTAAAACACAAAGTTGCATGCTTTTTCAATTAGGTGAATTTCTTTAACAATGAAATTACTTTGGTCAATCACACGTGTCATGTATTTCGAATAATGGGCATGCCAAACATCAATGCACCTCGGTATGCTATTCGTAGCAAGATACCACCGCCATCGCAGCGTTTTAGTTGGCTTTGGCGTCAAATTCAAATTGCTGCGCCGAACTTCGCCGAGATAATCGCCCAATATTTTCAGACGGGTGGTGGATCTTGGCGCTCGGGTATTCGTTGAGCTCGCATCTAATTTGTGTTCTTATCTTGCTGGTTTCTGTGCTCCAGCTCTGATGGAGACCCTTTGAAAAAGACAACCGGGTTCTTGGGTGAACAATTCCAGGTGAGGTATTACCCACAGATGTGACTACCAGATCGCGAGAGTAGATGCACGTTACTGAGAATGCAAAAACTTGTTATACTGAACAGGGAGATGTCCTGTGTGGCGGCGATATCCGAGGAAGATCTTTATTGCATGCACGCCATAAATCAGATAGCCTGAGCTTGGTGCATGGTTACCATCATTTAAGCAGTTAAAGGCCTCAATGTACCAACACATTGTGACAATGATAAATGTCTGGCAACCATATTCCTAGAACCTGGTTACAAGTGAATTATTTTAAATTCAATGTAATTTGGTCTGGCCCAAGTTCAGTGCATGCATGCTCCAGGTTCAGCACACTGGCACAACAATGGTGTAGACAGCCTTCATGTCCAGATGGCTTAGCTACATCATAATTTTTTCAGTTTGTTGAAGCAGAGTGTCAGTTTGAAGAGAATGTTAGATAGTATTGGCTTTACCAGAATGAAGCATTGATTAATTATGCTAATACCTTAATCTGCTGTTGCCTGATGATATTGTGGACATAAGTTGTGATGCATGCAGGTTTGAGTGAGTGCACAATTCTTCTTTTATGCTGTTTCATTGGAGCCTGCTTGGCTGTTTAAGTATGCATAATGGGGATGTTTGTAGGTCACACTTTCATCTCTGAATATGCTCCAATATGTATATTCCAAGTGTTTGTGAGAGGGTACAAAGCTTGCATTTTAATAAAACACAAGGTGTGCCTTCCTAAAAAGCAACACGTCTTGAGATGCCCGTTGGTGTCTTTGGATGCACAGCAAGAAAGAAAGCTACAACAAATTAAGTTTGATCTTTCATTCCCACTGTCAAAATGATTTCAGCTCAGGTAATTTGTGTGCAGATTTTAAAAAAATGTGTGTGCAAATTGTGTGTGCCAAAGGTTTTGATTGATAACTTTAAGAGCAGAGCACAAAGGCCTTAAGGCCTTTAACAAAGGCCTTAAGAGCCTTAGCACAAAGGCCCTTGATGCCCCAATAAATATCTTAAAGTTTCTTAAAGCTCAGTAGGAACATGTTTCAAGTGGTTTGCACACATTTTATTTCAGCTGTCAGTTACCCTAAAGTCTTAGCAAACAACTCCACTTGAACTGGTAGCTGGTGTTGCAGGTGCAGCACAGAAGGGCCAGAGCAATCCATTGATGACTGCCTGCTGTAATGGAGTGTCATCCCCACCTCCTCAGTGCCATTAACCTCGTCCTGACCCACTGGCGGCAGCGCGATCATGGCGGAGGACACGATCGTGGCGCGTGCGGCGCGGCTGGAGCAGCTGGTCAGTCAGCGGCGGCCGGCGGCGGCGGCGCGTGCCGGCAAGACGTTCGGCAGCGGCTGCCTGCGCCAGCTGCAGGCGCTGGCCGGTCGTGATGCCCTGCTGGACGCGCTCGTAGCTCTCTATGAGGAGTGCAACAAGGACGGCCTGAAGCAGAACCCCCTGGTGGCCGGCTTTGTCAGCAAGTGTGAGTGCGGCTCGGCATGGAGCGGTCGGGACGGGCTGATGACTTTGTCTCTGGAGCTTTTGTCGCACATTGCGGTGCGTTGAAATTATCTTCTGCTTGGCCTCTATAATTGTTCTGCTCTTGTGTTACTTGTTGGTTGTGGATCACTGCGTTGTCTTCATCGTGCTGGTCATAGATCACTGTGTGCGCTCTGTAATGTGTGGTCGTCGGAGACAGCAGTGACGGGTCATCCCCACCTCCGGGTCATCGTCGTGTCACGCCCCTGTCTACCACACCGCGGCCGCTGACCGACCGTGCCGTGCCCGTGGCCCGCTCGCTCGTGACGGGCGGTGCCACCCGGCCGCGCCGACCCTGACCGGCCGCGCCCCGGCCGCCAGTCCGCGGCATCGTGACCGAGCTGCGGCGTCTGCGCGTCGGCCCGGCCGACTTCGAGGTGCGCAAGACGATCGGCCGCGGCCACTTCGGCCAGGTGCACGTGGTGCGCGAGCGCCGCTCGGGTGACGTGTTCGCCATGAAGACGCTCCGCAAGCAGGACACGCTGGCGCAGACCGGGGTGAGGCGCGCGCTGCCGTTGGCTGGTGGGGGCATGGGCGAGGGTACGGCTGGGTGGACGCAAGCAGGACACGCTGGCGCAGACCGGGGTGAGGCACGCGCTGCCGTTGGCTGGTGGTGGCATGGGCGGGTGATGACTGGGTGGAGTCCTGGAGGAGGGAAGGTGCTGGCGTGCTGGATGAGGGCGTTCGGAATGATACGAGGTTCGTGGTGCGTGTTGGAGCGGAATCAAGCCATGTTTTGTTTGTTAAGGTCAGTGTATGTGGTGTGCGCTGTTCCGGTCGTGCCTGTGGTGTGAGTTTTCGGTGACCGGTTGAGTCCGTTTCCAGGTGATGTTTTATGAAGAGGAACGGGATATCATGACTGAGGCCGTGTCGCCGTGGATCACGGCTCTTCACTACGCATTCCAGGTAAGAAATATTACCTGAGGCGCCCCGCTTGCTGCACCATGTACACACTGTTAAGTTTGTTTTCACATGCTCGCGATATTAATTTATTTGCACACTGATTAGGTTGTAGTTTGAGCCATGCTCTTTCCTCATTCGTTTCTGCGCTTGTTGCGTGTTGATTTCGCTAACCAAATATGTTGCATGTGTGCCACCTAGAGAAGACGCGTGTCTGATGTAGCTCTTCGGGTGTGAACCGCCAGCAATGACCAGCCGCCATCAAAGCCCGTACTCGGTAAGTCTGGCTGTCCGTGCCGCGTCCAGAGGCTGAGGCTGGCGACGCACCACCACCACGCCTGCCCACTGTCCGTGCTCAGGACTCGCAGCTGCTGTACCTGGTGATGGATTTCCACCCGGGCGGCGACCTGATGACGCTGCTGGACCGCTTTGACGGCGTGCTGGAGGAAGAGACGGCGCGCTTCTACCTGGCCGAGATTGCGCTGGCGCTGCACGATCTGCACGCCATGGGATACGTGCACAGGTTAGGCGCGTGTGCGGGAGTCGGGAAGGGGAGGGGGGCTACGCAGACAGGTCAATGCAGAGAGCCATTTTGGTCCAGTCAGTTGCCAAGTCATTGTGTCGAATGCGTACGTGTAGGAGGTCCACAAGATGCATCATTGCGTGGATAGTGATGATGTGATATTTGTCGACCATATGTAAGTTTTCTGTGCTTCTTTTTCTCTCGGCTCGCAATTTACTGGCTTTGAGATTAACCAGTTCATGTTAAAGTGTGGACGCGAACGGACGTGAATTCTGCCTGCTTCTGGCCGCCGCGTAGCTATGTTGTTGACTGCCGTGGCTCCCGCCCGTCGGTGCGGTCCGCCGGCCGCGGCCCCTCTGACGCCGCCGGCCGCCGCCCCGCTCCCAGAGATGTCAAGCCGGAGAACGTGCTGCTGGACCGGTGCGGCCACGTGAAGCTGGCCGACTTCGGCTCGGCGGCGCGGCTCGGCGCCGGCGGGCTGGTGTCGGCCGCCATGCCGGTCGGCACGCCCGACTACCTGGCGCCCGAGGTGCTGCGCGCCGTCAACACGGCCGGCGCGCGCCAGCCGGCCAGCCCAGCCTACGGCGTCAGTCAGGGCAGGGGCTGGCGGACGGGGGCGGGCTGGTGTCGCGCTGCGGTGTGCGGTTTGTTCCCGGGCGGTGTGGTGGCCGAGTGGAGAAGATCTTTGGTGATCCCCGTCATGTGATGACTGGTGAATGAGGATGATCTTGAGGTTGAGAGACGTGAGCTTGGTCCCCGCCGCAGGAAACTTTCGCTGGCCTTGTTTCTGTCAAGGCGTGGCAACGACACTGACCTCAGTAATTTCAATATGCGTAGTGAGTCACTTAACTATGAGCGCTTTGTCGGTATCTCCAGGTTTGCATTGTAGGACTGAATCTGTTGCGTTCTATTTCATGCACGCTGAACCACTGTTCAATTTTGACCGATGCGTTCGGCTGCGATGCCAAGTTATGACTGTGACAGTGACGTGTGTTAGACGGTAACAGAACAAGCGATGTCATCTTTGGATTTGCTTCCGTTGACGACAGCGGGTGTCCCCCTCCGGCGTACCCTCATCGACGTGTAACCTTTACGCGTGCAGAAGGACTGCGACTACTGGTCCCTCGGAGTGGTCGCCTTCGAGATGCTCACTGGAAGAACACCGTTCAGTGATGACAAGCTGGGCTCGACCTACAACAACATCCAGCAGCACAAGGTAGGTGAAAGCGTTCTTGCATCTTGATGGACTCCAGGAGACCGTGCGCACAATGCCTCTCGTGGCCTGAGTAGGTTCGTCAGTAAGGTTGTGAAGTAAGGTTATTTCGCACGGCCCGCCCGACGCTGACTCGTGTTCAGTAGCCTGAGTAGGTTCGTCAGTAAGGTTGTGAAGTAGGGTTGTTTCGCACGGCCCGCCCGACGCTGACTCGTGTTCAGTAGCCTGAGTAGGTTCGTCAATAAGGTTGTGAAGTAGAGTTATTTTGCACGGTCCGCCCGACGCTGACTCGTGTTCAGTAGCGATGCTGCGAGCCGTCCGGTGGGTGATGAGCGGACGGCGCCGCGCGAGCCCTGCCGATCGTGCCCCGTACCTGCCGTCGGGGCGGCGCCGGACGTGGCGCTCACACCGCCACCCTCCGGCGACAGAAGCACCTGGTGCGGCCCAGCGAGCCGGCGCTGAGCGACGCCGCCTGGAGCCTGATCGCCGGCCTGCTGACCGACAACAACCGGCGCCTGGCGCACGCCGACGTGCTGCAGCATGCCTTCTTCACCAGCGTCGACTGGAACAACATCGCCAACAGTGAGGAGCGCGCGCGGTCCGACAGCTGTGGGCCGCTGGTTCCACGGCCCTGTGGCCGAACGGCGGCACCACGCGGCAGCCCGTGCTGTTTACTGTGCTTGTTGTTCCAACGCGATGGGTCGGCGGACTTGTGAGGAGGCCCGTGTGAGCCATGACTTCGAATCAACCGTTTGGGTGTTGGGACAGTGATTGCGTTGCACGCATTGCTCTCCGAATAGCTGGCGCACTGGGCTGATAGCCGCATGCGGAGCTCTAGTGCGGCCGCGTCTGACCGTCTCGTCGTCACTCGTGGCTGACCTGTCACGCTAAGTCTGACCCCCGTCCCGCCGCAGCGGTGCCGCCGTTCATCCCGACCGTGAACGGCGTGGACGACACGTCCAACTTCGACGAGGTGTCGCCCGAGCCGCCGTCGCCCAGCCTGGACTCGCTGCTCTCGCAGCAGAAGTTCTCCGGCCGCGAGCTGCCCTTCATCGGCTTCACGTTCACCAAGCCGCTCGGCGAGACGCGTCCACTCAAGGACCGGTCAGTGGTGATGCGGGCCCGCTGCTGGGGAGTGCGGCGGGGTGGGGCGAGGGGGTGGTCCGGTTACGGAGGTGCCAAGGGTGACTGGTCTGGGCTGCTCAGCTGGTAGTGGGTTGCCCGCTGGGTGGACGAACTCGTAGCAAAGTCGGGTATTCGGACGAAGCCGTTGGCGAGTACTGGCGTGCATTAACTTGACACGTTCAGTGGCAGTCTGTCCTTTTATGTTCTCTCTCTTCTTATCCTGCATCCTCGCGACGCCCCGCTTGTCCGGGGCAGGCTGCATGCGCCAGCCATGAGTGAGTCGAAGCGTCACCCGGCGGCTCCCCGTCCGAGCGTCGAGCACACACCCCGCAAAGGGGTCTCTGTGGGGACAAAACCTCGGTGGATGGGCCGTATCCATTCTCCTTCATCCCATGGCCCTGAAATGGCCGTGACTGGCGGAAAGGGCTCTAATCCAGACAGCAAACCAACCAACAGTGTTGGACCCGCGGCCCAGGTTTGCTCGCTCCCGCCGGACCTATCGTAAAAATGTACGGCGACCGCAATTGTCGATGGGTCGCCCTGTCGCGCGTCCCTGCACGTTTCCACTTGTGCGGCGGGGTCGCTCGCTGCCGCCTGGCACCATATGATAGCCGCGGCCGACGCTGTCCGCAGGCAGCGCAGCAGCTCGCTGCTGCCGGCGGCCGACGCAGAGCCATCTAGCGAGCTGGAACGGAAGGTGTGCGCCCAGCGACGCCAGCTGCACACGCTGCGCGAGCGGCTGGACGAGTACGAGCGCGGCGAGGTCGGCAGCCAGCTCAAGCAGGTACCGACGCTCGTTCCCGGCCAGCTGGAGGGTGCCACCCCCGGGGGATGATGGGAGGTGTTGTGCTCGGCACCGCTTTGCGAGCTGGCAGCGCCGAATAAATCGGCTGGAAGAAGGGGAGGAGTGCTTGTGCTTTATGATTTATGTTGCAGTCCCGCGAGACCGGTGGATGTGCTAGTGAAGACATTGTGCGCAGGGAATGCGTCATGTAAAGTGCCGTATATATATATATATATATATATATATATATATATATATATATATATATATATATATATATATAGCGAGGTATTTGGATCGGATGTTATCTCGACCGGCGCGTGCACTACTATTCTCCTTCCTCCCCAGCTGAGCGCGAAGGTGGATGAGAAGAGCGAGCGTCTACAGAAGATTGAGGAGGAGCGGAACCGGCTGGAGGCGGCTCTGGCCCGGGCCGAGGACAAGTCCGCTGTGAGTCTGCATATTCTCCCCCATGTGCAGCACCGGGCTGTGTCGGAACCCGCGGCGCCTCGAGTGTGGGCCCAGCACTCGTGTTCAGCTGGTGGTCGTCCCCTCGCACATGATGACAAACACTGCGCAAATCTGAGCGTGCGGGTGGAGCGGTCGGCCGCGGCCGGACCCTCCCCGCTCGCGCTGATCTGACCCAGGTCCTGAGCCCCTGCGTGTGGCGCCGCCGCCGCCGCCGCCGCTGCGCCGCCGCGCCTGACTCCCCTCCCGCCGCTAGGGCTACGTTCGCCTGCTGGAGGTAGAGAAGAAGGACCGCATGTCGACCGAGAAGCGCGCGCTCGAGCTGCTGCAGGACATCAAGCGCAAGTGGAAGCGCGACGAGGAGGAGCGGCTCAAGGTCATCCAGGACGAGGTCAAGGTGAGCTGACGGGATCAGCCGGCCGCCAGACGGGTTATGTGGAGTTCGTGGAGCAGCGTGGGTTTTGCCATTGTCTGCGCGGCAGCGTGTGTGTGTGTGTGTGTGTGCGCGCGTGTGTGCGTGCGTGCGTCGGTGCTCCACGACGCACCCAGGTGCTGTGGCGATATAGCGTCGCATGTCTCACCCTGGCAGTATGGGCGGGCACCGCTGAGAATCGGACGCCGCACCTCTGGTTTCTCAGACGCGCTGCGTAACCACTGCACCATCGGTATCCTTGCATGGATGTGACGTTGCATGTGCCTAGCAGTAATATGAATGACGTCACCAAGCTGTCTGAGGCCCGAGCTTTACTATGACTGTCGTGGAACGGGGAGAGCGTTCGTTGAACCGCCGTCTGCCCGCAGCGGTACCAGGCCGAGTGCAAGTCGATGGAGGAGAAGTACCACTTCTCGCTGGAGAACCTGCAGCGCTGCCAGAGCCAGCTGAATGCCGCCGAGGAGGCCAGGAAGACGGCCGAGGAGGCCGCCAAACAGAACCAGCACAAGGTCAAGGAGGTACGTCTTGTCGTGGGCGACCGGAGCGCCGCCTCGTTCGGATCGGAGGGCACGACTAAGTCACTGGGATAATAGGCGGCCGAAATGAAAATTGAAGCGCCAACGTGTTGGGATGCCAGTTAGATCGCTCCATTTTGCCTGTCAATCCGCATTTTTTTGTGCGTGCTGGTTCTGCTGAAGTGCGACCAGTGTGAGTGCTGCTTCCACGGAAGTTGCAGTATTTTGAGTGTTTGGAAGGCGTCACACCGCGCCGCGCGACCTTCCCAACACGGTTGTACGGTGACTAAGACCAAAAGACCAACCAAGACTTCGAGCCAAGAAGAAGTCTGACTGAATGACTGAGCTGGTGAGCGACTCTGGACTGCTGGGTGAGCGCGTGTGCCGCTCAGATAGTGGGTATGTCTGCGGGCAAATGGCACGAGACTGGATTGCTGGGCGTGCGTGTATGCCCCTCGGATAATGGGTGTTTCTCCGGGTAAATGGCACGAGACTTGACTGCTGGGCGTGCGCGTATGCCCCTCAGATAATGGGTGTGTCCCCGGGTAAATGGCACGAGACTGGATTGCTGGGCGTGCGTGTATGCCCCTCGGATAATGGGTGTGTCTCCGGGTAAATGGCACGAGACGCGCGAGCAAGGGCTCCCGTTGTGGACCGTTTCGGTGACCGGCTGGGCCCGTTCGCTAGGTACTGGACAGCAGCCGAGTGGACTCGGCCGGACTGCAGCAGCGGCTGGAGCAGACGACGGCCGCCTCGCAGCAGCAGCTGCTCCAGCTGCAGCAGCAGCTCGCCGCCGGCCAGCGCGACCGCGACCAGCTGCAGGCGCAGCTGCAGCAGGCGGCGCGCGACCAGCGACGGCTCGAGCGACAGGTGAGGAGGGGGTCAGTCCGACGCCCCGGGGCGTGACTGAGCTGCCCACGGCTCCACGTGGTGTCTGGCTCTAGCGGCGTTCGGGCCCAAGTTGTCTAAAGGCGTCATATGCGTTACGTGCTGTCCGACCGTCTTTCCCTGGCGCTAACACCGTGCTTCGCTCTCTTCCGGGAAATGGCATGTGTTTACCTTCGACATCTTCATGCCAAGAGCATTCCCGGCGTGTCTACGAAGGTTGTGTGTATCTGTCCAGCACGCTCAGGTTTTCCGTACGCCAACGCGCTCACGTGACCGTGTTGGAGTGTCCCCGCCCGTCGTGACGCCGCCTGACCGTCGGCAGCTGGAACAGACGACGGCCGACGCGGCGCAGCTGGCAGAGCTGCGCGCCGAGCGGGACCGGCTGCGTGCCGAGGCCGAGCGGCTGGCGCGCGCGCGCGGCGACGCCGAGGCGCGCGCCGATCGGTGCCAGCAAGGCGGCTCGGCGGCCGCCGCCCAGCTGGAGCGCCAGCTGGCCGAGCAGCGCCGCCAGACGGCCGAGCTCGCCGAGCAACTGCAGGTGGGCAGCCGGTACCGGGCACCGGGTGCGGGACTGTCCAGCGGTGGCCAAGCATGAACTGGGGATGGGTTTAAACGCTGGGTGCACGGCGTTCTGGGGTTTGTTCGATACTGAATCTGTTTTGTTCTCTTGCGCGATGGCCGTAGGACGTCGTTCAGCCTTATCGGTGGGCGGTGTTGATAGAGTTGTTTGTGTCTCTAGCTGTACTGCCGCGTCCGCAGCAGTGTGACAGCCACGGCGACGTGGTGTCTGTGGCTGTTTCTGCTGCTGACGTTGCCAACTTAGGAACTGCTGTCATCATCCGCCGTCGCCTGCCTTGAGTCCCACCGCCGTGTCCCTCTCTCAGGTCTCATGTTGTGCCTCTCCCTTTGTATCACGCCGCCTGTGCTTCCGCCACCGTGTCGCGCCATACCCGCCGCCGCCGACACTCCGCTCCGCCGCCGACACCCCGCTCTGCCGACAGTCGGCGCGCGCCCGCCGGGAGCAGTCGGCTGCTGCGCTGTCGGCGCGCGAGGCCGAGCTGGCCGGTCTGCGGGACACGCACCTGGCCGAGGCGGCCGAGCTGCGGGCCCAGCTGGAGGCGGCGCACCAGGAGCGCGACGCCATGCTGCAGGACCTGCGCGTCACCCAGGACAAGGAGGGTACGGCACGCACGCACGCACGCGCGGCGTGGCGCGGCCCCGCTTGTGCGCTCCGGACGGCTGGCGACGGCCGGTTACATGGCGGCGTCGGGTAGCTGGGCCACTGGTTGTGTTCGGAAGGCTGGCGATGACCGGCTACCCTGCGGTATTGAGTGGCTGGGCCGCTGGTCGTGTTTAGAGACTTGCGGCTGTAGTTCGGGAGGTGGATTTTAAAGGGCAGTTCAGCTACAGAGGCCGTCCATCCACCGCCCGGGGAGGTCGGGGCACGCCCCGTATTTGCCGTACTGCGGACGTCTGGGGGTGGTGCCGTGCGGGGCGTCTGACCCGGGCGTGGTTACAGAGGATCACCAGCAGCGCATCTGTGAGCTGGAGACCACCCTCCTGGGCCTGGAGGAGTCGCTCAACAAGCTGGAGCACTGCAACGAGACGCTGCAGCACCAGTTGGCCAACGCCAGCGCCGCCGAGCCGCACGACAGGTGGATGGGCCTACACCCCGTCGGGCGCCCCCCCCCCCCCCCCCTCACATTTCACGGAGTCCCTCTTTCACAGTGCTGACCAAGCATGTTTCTGTCCTACTCTCGTGTTGCTTAATCCACATCTGCCTACCTTCTTGCTCTGCTGTTCTATGATTTGCTTGCATACCGGCTTATTGACTCTCATGCTTTGTTTTTGGCTGCCATCTGGCCCTCCTGTTGTCATGTTATTGTGTTGTCTTCAGGAGTGTAGTTTTCTTTCAATTTGGGGGGGGGGCGACACTGATATGCCCCCAACCTTTGGACAAAGTGGGCAAAATCCTGGGAGAAGCCTGTTTGTTGGCATATTTTGGGTGTAGGTTGGGTCATTTTCACTGTTCAGCAACCCCTCCACCTCCAACTCATTTTGTGAAACAACGCTCCTGCGTGTCTTATTCTCTTTGGTCTCCCGCCATTCTGTCCCTTTTTTTGTGCAATGACATGCTCATTATTTGTCTTTCCGTCCTGTTTGTGTATTCTCCCGGCTACCGCCTCTGGACAAATCAGTGTCCGTCGCGCCTGGTAAACACCGCCCGTCTGCCGGCAGTGAGGAGCTGGCCAAGCTGAAGCAGTCGCAGCTGGTGCTGGAGACGCAGCTGGAGCGGACCGAGAAGCAGCTGGAGTCGGCGCGGGAGCGCGGCGCCGTGGACCGGCACAAGGTGGCCGAGCTGCAGGACCAGATCAGACTGGTACGTGTCGTCGCCCGGCCGGCCGCGTTCGCCGACCTTTCATCTCGCTGTCGGGCACGTCACATCAAATGTGATATGATGACTTGTAATGGTCCAGTACGCATCCTGTCGTAGTCATGTCCAGCTCGAATCTGACGTAGCTGTCTGTAAACCAACCTTAACTTTGTACCGCGAAGAAGATTTCTTGTCCACTCACTCACCAAACGCCAGCGTAATACGTAAGCCCGTCTCTGTGAGCCGTTCCGCCGCCCGCGCCGCAGAAGGACAAGCAGGTCGCCGACTGGAAGATCGACGTGCGCATCGCCAACCGGGAGGCGCGAGCGGCCGAGGCGGCGCTGGCCGAGCTGCGCCAGGCCGAGGCCGGCTGGGTGGCGGAGCGGACCGAGCTGACGCAGCGCGCCGGCCGGCTCGAGCAGCAGCTGGCCGAGCGGCAGGCCGGCCTCGAGCGCGCCGAACGCGACGTGGAGCGGCACGGTCGCGAGGCGCACGAGCTGAAGAAGGCGCACGAGGTGAGTCAGTCGGTCGGCGAGGCGCGCCGGGGGCGTCTGGAAACAGGAGGGATGCACGCATCAATGACGGGGGAGGCGAAGCACAGGGAGAAAATTGGAAGCGGTCGCGTAAACGGAACTAGACTTAGGTTGTTGCTCAAGCAAGACGGAATGGGGTACTCGTAGATAAGACAGGATACAAGTTTGTGCACCAGCAAGTACGGTGTTTCATTTGTAGACCAAAGGAACTTGTAGAAAAGCAACAAATCCAGGTGTGTGTGTAAATGCATATGCAAATGCACAGAATCCACTCACGTTCATGCGCTACTCTACGTTTACAAGTATTGTTTCTAAGATAGGCTTTGAAAGATCGTTGTCACGATGATCGTCCTCATAAATCCTGGACTTTTGAAGATGTTTGTAAAAGTGGACTTGACGCTTAAGATTCGGACCATGTGCCGAGCGATTCGGACCGTCCCATCGTTCTGTCTGTGTGCTGATTTGGAAGTCAGTCGTCCCCAGCGAAGAGAGCCGTTCTCAGCCGGAATGTTGAATGAAGCCGTTCTCAGCCGGAATGAAGTACCGACCGCTCGCATCGGTGGGCCCGACGGCCTTCCCTTGCCGCGTCCGAGCCGGGCCCTTCTGACCAGCCACGTGCCCGTCCGCACACAGACGGAGGTGGGCCGCTGGGTGGAACAGGTGCGCGCGCTGGAGCGGGAGCTGGCCGAGGGCGCGGCGGCCGCCGGCCAGCGCGAGCAGGCCGAGCGTGCCGCCCAGCGCCTGCAGGAGCGGCTTGACGACCAGCAGGCGGCCGCCCAGCAGCAGACCGAGCGCACGCACCGCCTCCAGGAGACGGAGGAGGCGCTGCGCCGCGAGCTGGCCGACGCTCAGAAGAAGGCCGACCAGCAGGAGGCGGTGAGGACCGGGCGGCGCCGCTGGGTGGCGGGCTGGGCGAGTGGTACGCGAGTTTTGAGACTGGGATGCCAGCTTCGCTTCAAATGTGTTTATTTCCCTTTTTGCGGCCCTGGTACAGCATGCTACCCTGACTTATTACCAATGTTTAGCACGTGAGCGAAGTTCAGCGATGTCACTTAAAGTACGCCGTATAACCCAAATAAGTTGATGTAACGCCAGAAAAGCTCTTGAATGTCGGGTGTTGAGCACGTCCCCAATGCAACGGAGCTCTCACTACTCTTCGGCTGTTACTAGAGCCTGACCGCTGTTGTTTATGGAGCCGTGGTTTGTCTCGCATCTGAGCTGACGCGTCGCTGCCGACCACAGACGATCTCGTCCCTGAAGGACCTCTGCTCCACGCTGGACACGCAGCTGACCGACATGGAGCAGCTGCTGAAGAAGCAGGAGGCCGACACAGATAAGCAGGAGCAGAACAAGTCAGTGTGTAGCGCAACCCACCGGCTGCGGACTTGGCCACAGCCTGCCGGGGTGTAGCCGATGCTTATGGTGTCACATAACACGATTAGGCGAACGAGAACAACGTATCGTCGAGCGGGCACAAAAGATCCCTTGTGTTAAGCTGATGTTTCAGACCCTAAATCCCTTAAAGTTCCTCTTCGCCAGACTTCAGTTCAAACATTGTTCGCACGCACCACTCGGACCACTTAGCTGGCCAAGGACCGCGACCACGGAGCCAGCTGGTAGCTTAGAACGTTCTTGTTTTGACCGCACTGACTCTGGCCTCATCTCTTACGACACCCTGCGTGTGCACCCCTCCGGATCAAGTTAGCCCTGTCTGCCGAGGTCTGCCTTTTGTCTCGCCCTGTTCTTGTGACTCGAGCCTAATGGTCCGTTGTGTGTCCCTCCCGCCAGGTCTCACGGCCCGTTGTTTGCCCCCGCCCTCCAGGTCCCTAACAGCCCGTTGTGTGCCCCTTCCCGTCAGGTCTCTAACGGCCCCTTTTTGTGCCCCTCCCCGCCAGGTCTCTCATGGTCTTGTGTACCTCTCCCCGCCAGGTCTCTCACGGCCCGTTGTGTGCCCCTCCCCGCCAGGTCTCTCATGGTCTTGTGTACCCCTCCTCGCCAGGTCTCTCACGGCCCGTTGTGTGCCCCGCCCCGCCAGGTCTCATGGTCTTGTGTACCCCTCCTCGCCAGGTCTCTCACGGCCCGTTGTGTGCCCCTCCCCGCCAGGTCTCATGGTCTTGTGTACCCCTCCTCGCCAGGTCTCTCACGGCCCGTTGTGTGCCCCTTCCCGTCAGGTCTCTAACGGCCCCTTTGTGTACTCCTCCCCGCCAGGTCTCTCACGGCCCGATGTGTGCCCCTCCCCGCCAGGTCTCTCATGGTCTTGTGTACCCCTCCCCGCCAGGTCTCTCACGGCCCGTTGTGTGCCCCTCCCCGCCAGGTCGGCCCTGTCGGACGAGATCGCGCGCCTGCAGACCGAGCTTCGCTCCGCCAAGGCGGGCGCCAACGAGGAGAAGTCGCTGAAGCTGTTCCAGGAGCGGCGCGTCCAGGACCTGGAGCGCCGCCTGCAGGAGCAGGAGGCCGACGTCGAGACCGAGCGTGACATCCTGAAGAAGGACCTGGACGAGTACCGCGAGCTGTCACACGGTCTCACCAACCAGGCGAGCCGAGGGCTGCACTCGTGGGACGCTGAAACGTTTGGTGGTTCGCCAAGCACGCTAACAAGCGGCAAGAATGCTGATGAGTGTTGGATATCCCAGTAATTACCAGTGTTTGGGGAGCGCGGGAGAAAAACGTCCATGCCCGTCAGTCTGTGCGCGTTCCCAGATTTTCTTTGTCGCTGCGCTGCGGTTCCGTTCTGTGTCCTTTTCCACGCCCATGGCGGCGACATCTTGTGCGCACGTGACGGCGGCGCCGCGCTCCGCTGGTCTGACGGCTGGGTGTCGGCGCAGCTGTCGCAGCACGACCAGCAGCTGTCGGAGGCGCAGACGCAGCTGCGCCAGCTGGAGCGGCGCGAGGAGCAGACGCTGCGCGAGATGGCCCGGCTCAAGGAGGAGACGTCCGGCCTGCTCACGCAGATCCACTCGCTCAAGGACTCCAACTTCCAGCTGACCGAGGCGCTCGAGAAGGCCGTCGACCGCGCCGAGGCCTTCAAGGAGAGGTCAGCCGGGGTCGCCGCGCGCTGCGTCCGCCGACTGGGCCGGGCGGTTGGTAGCAGGAAGCGCCATTGGTTTTGGCGGTGAATTCTCGGACCGCATGGTCCTCACCTGCTGCTTCTTATGCGTACTGACTGCTACCAACTGGCAACCATCAGCATCAGCAAGCTCATGCCCGATCTAGCCTGGCTCGAAACATCGTAACCTAGGGTGCCGGGGCCTGCCCTGTGCTGACCATTGCCCGGCCCGGCCAGCCTTAGCCCGCGCCGCCGTAAGCCAACGCTGACCGTTGGCGTTGACCTGCCGTGGCCGGGCAGGATCGCCGAGCTGGAGGGCGTCATCTCGGAGATGCAGCTGAGCTACGACGAGAAGGAGCAGCGGCTGGAGGGCACGCTCGGTCAGCAGACCAAGCTGATCGACTTCCTGCAGGCCAAGTCGGAGGCGCCGCCGCGCAAGAAGGTGGGTCTGTCGTCGGTGCTGGGACGGGCCGGGAGCCGCGGCTGGCGGTGTGGGCCACCGCAGCCGGGCTCGGCTCTGGTACCGGTGGCGGGTGGTGTTGGTAGGCCGCCGGACGGCCCCAGGGTGGGATTTAGGTTGAGCTTTGGTCCTGGATCTTGAGTGTGGAATTTGGAAGGATGTCTTGTGGGTTTTGAATGGCCCAGAAACGGCAAGAACACTATATCTATATGTATATGATACGTGACAATATATGATATATTGCCATATATCATAAGCCATTGCAATTGCATTTATTTTGGTAGTGCTTTGCATCATTCACAACGTAATACGGAACGATGCTCTCCATCCCCAGTCAACTCATTTCCTTGCCCGGGCTCTCTCGAGGCCCGGACAAGCCGGAGGGCGCTCTTGTCCCGCTGTCGCCGCGGCGTCGGAGCAGCGGCCGTCCATCACCACGCCACGGCCGCTGCCCGGCCTGCCTCTCAGCCACAGTCTCTGACGCCGCCCGGCCCGTCTATCACCACGCCACGGCCGCTGCCCGGCCTGCCTCTCAGCCACAGTCCCTGACGCCGCCCGGCCCGTCCATCAGCGCACCACGGCCGCTGCCCGGTCTGCCTGTCAGCCGCAGTCCCTGACGCCGCCCGGCCCGTCCATCACCGCGCCACGGCCGCTGCCCGGCCTGCCTGTCAGCAGCAGTCCCTGACGCCGCCCGGCCCGTCCATCAGCGCACCACGGCCGCTGCCCGGTCTGCCTGTCAGCCGCAGTCCCTGACGCCGCCCGGCCCGTCCATCACCGCGCCACGGCCGCTGCCCGGCCTGCCTGTCAGCAGCAGTCCCTGACGCCGCCCGGCCCGTCCGCAGACGCTGGCCGACCGGCTGTTCGGTGAGAAACAGAAGGAGAACTGCACGCCCGTGCCGCTGAAATACCGTGACCTGGAGCGGCTGTTGGAGCGAGAGCGCATGCGCACCAAACAGGCCAACGACCAGCTGAACCGGGCCAGGGCCGAGATCGTGTCCCTTACCAACAAAGGTGAGCCGGCGGCGGCTGAGGAATGGTGCGGGGCACGGAGCGCTGGAGGGCCCGGACAGTAACTCGAGAAGACGACAGGCCGCTGGCAGGGGGTTTGTGGGGCTGCGACTTGTGTTGTATGTTTGGAGCGTCTTGACTGGTGTCATGGTTGCTTGATGTGTTCTTTATTTTTCTTGCATGAATTTGGTCATGTAAAGAGAATGAGTGTGGGCGGAGTATGCTCATTGGCTCAGTCGCAGTGCCGATGAAAAAGGCAACACCATAAGGAGCAATGTGTAGATGTTTAAATGTCGTAATCGGTCTGGGTTTGAAGCCAGGTGTCTTGCCTCCAGCTGCAGTCACAGGGGAACATCGGGAACATCAAACAATTAATTTATCTTTTAATGGCTGCAAGGTGATAGATGGTCGCCGTCACACAGGTTTGGTGTCTTGCTTTTTGTACGGGAATAACCGTGCGGAGATGGCAACAGGACATACGTTGTTCATCTCAACAATGACCGTTCGGTAAAATGCTCCGGCTAGTCAGCGACGCAAGGTATTTTCACAAGTCGCACACGAACCGCACACGACCGCCATCGTGAACTCGGCCGTGGCGTGAGACCGGCACGTGACCCCGCCCGTGCGCCGGCAGTGCCCACCTGTCCGGACACGCCGTGCCTGGGCGGCACGCCGCAGTCGCGCCAGGCGCTTCGTCTGCTGGCGCAGTCGCCGGGGGTGCAGAGCACGCCGGCGGCGCGCGGCGCCCCCGCCCGCGCGCCGCCGCCGCCAGCCACGCCCACGCCCACGCCGCAGCGCATGCACCATAACATCCCGCACCGGTTCGACACGGGCCTGATGACGCGGGCCGCCAAGTGCGCCGCCTGCCTGGGCCCGGTGCGCTTCGGACGCACGGCCGCTCGCTGCGCCGAGTGTCACATCACTGCCCACCCCAAGGTACGGGCGCTGTGCCGAGTGTCACATCACCGCACCCCAAGGTACGGGTGCTGTGCCGAGTGTCACATCACTGCCCACCCCAAGGTACGGGCGCTGTGCCGAGTGCCACATCACCGCACCCCAAGGTATGGGCACTGTGGCGGGTGGCACGTGGCCACCGCTCTCCCCCCGGTGCAGTCGGGTGATAGGCCCGCGGCCGGCGATCAGCAGCGGGGCTGGCGTCCTTGATCGGATGGAGAGGATCTCAGTTTGGTTGTCGTGATGCATCAGCTTGATGTGTCTCCATGAGCTCTGCAGTCAAGCTGGAAATCGCACAGCATTGCCGACTGTTCTCGGTGTGTCGGTGGACCTCCAAGTCGGCAGTTTTGAAAGCTGAAGCTCTTAAGACTCCCTCATCAGTATGGCCGTCGGTGCCCCGGCCGGGTGCGCATGCGTCTCCTCCGCCGTGCGCCGGGTGCCGCTGACGCCGCCTCCCGCTGCAGTGCGCCGGCGAGCTGCCGCGCACCTGCGGCCTGCCGGCGGCACTGGCGCGGCACTTCTCCGACTCGTGGCAGCAGTCGGACGCCTCGCCGGCCGTGCGCCGTGTCGCCGGGCCACCCAAGCCGCCCCGACAGCCCTCCGAGGACACGCCCACCGCCGGCCGCGGCTGGATCCGGGTGCCCAGGTGTGTGACGGGGTCCGGGGCGCCAGGTGCGTGGTGGGGTCAGGGGCGCCAGGTGCGTGGTGGGGTCCGAGGCGCCAGGTGCGTGGCGGGGTCAGGGGCGCCAGGTGCGTGGTGGGGTCCGAGGCGCCAGGTGCGTGGCGGGGTCAGGGGCGCCAGGTGCGTGGCGGGGTCAGGGGCACCGGGTTCGTAGTGGGATCAGTGTGTGCAGGTGCAGGGCTGGGTCGTTGTACCCAGATGGGCATGTGGATCGCTGTGCTTGTTACGGTACGACAGCTGAATTAGGGCTCATAGGTGCTCCGAAGAGGGATAAATTGGGCGTTTGTATGGTTCACTATTCATTCCCGTGCCACCAATACCAATACCAACAAAGGCAATGGGCGGCATGCGAACAGGAAGTCCCAGGATTCAGACCCCAATGATGGCCCAGCGGGGCCATCATTACAGCGGCGGGCGGTGACCAGTCCGTGACGGACATGATGACCCAGCGGCGGGCGGTGACCGGCCCGTGACGGACATGATGACCCAGCGGCGGGCGGTGACCGGCCCGTGACGGACATGATGACCCAGCGGCGGGCGGTGACCGGCCCGTGACGGACATGACCCAGCGGCGGGCGGTGACCGGCCCGTGACGGACATGATGACCCAACAGCGGGCAGTGACCAGTCCGTGACGGACATGATGACCCAGCGGCGGGCGGTGACCAGTCCGTGCGCCTCGCGTCCGGCAGGCCCGGAAAGGCCGGCTGGGAGCGTCGCTTCCTGCGCGTGGAGGAGGGCCAGCTGACGCTGTACGCCGAGGAGCCGTCACCGGGCGGGCCGGCGCCGGCGCCGCTGCAGACCATCGACCTCCGCTCGGGCCACGTGCACGTGGACGCCGACGTGGCGTACTCCGAGGTGCCGCAGCTGGCCCGCCGCGACCTGCCTTACGTGTTCAAGGTACGGCCCCCGGTATCGGCGTGTGGCGCGGGTGGCGGGCCGGTCGGGGCAGGCCGGCCCGTCTCCTGGTGGCGAGCGAGGCGGGATGGCGGAGTACGCAGCCGGCAGCGGTAGGTTGTCAGTTGCCGCGGTGCGTTCTGTGGCAGCTGTGATGGATGTGTCATCCGACGAAGGGATCGAGGGGCTGCCCATCGGTAGTGAGTCATCGCTCGGTCTAAGTCGTCGAAATGCTGAGCGCATTCTAGGTTTGGCCCCACTTGTCCTGGGAGTGTTTGCGTAGAGTGTAAATGTAATCAGAGAAATACCGTGTACGACGTCCGAATGCAGCAGCTGAATACGGCCGCTCCGTGTTACAGCTGTGTGCCGGGCCCAGACGACCGTTAGCCCTTGGGGCCTCTGTTGACGTGGCGGAGGGGGATGTTGAGGGATGCCCCGCTGTCGTGTCCCTCGTAACGCCGCGCGCCGCCGCCCCACACACAGGTGGGCATCGTGCAGGAGACGACCTGCTGGCCGGCCAAGTCGTACCAGTTCCTGTGCAGCAGCCTGCCGGAGAAGCAGCAGTGGGTGGGCCTGCTGGAGTCGCTGGTGCCGCCGCCGGCCGCCGCCGGGCCGGCCGACGGCCGCGGCTCAGCCCGCGCCAGCCTCGTGTACGCCGCCGACGGCGCCGACTGCATCGACATCAACTGCGCGCACCTCGTCACCGACCAGGTGGGACGGCGGACGGCCGGCCGCGCCGGGCGTCGGCGCTCCGGGTTTGCCGCGTCCAGCGTGGCCGGCGTGATCACCAGTGCGACGGCATTGTGACTGAGATATTATGTTTTTTTTTACTGAGGCGTTTGTGCAGGTGTGATGCGCAGATGACACCCGCGAATCTGTGTCGTGACTCATTGCATGTGACGTAACCGCAAGCTGAGCTGCAGTGCAATGTGGAGCGACATGCAATCCGACGCTGCCGTGGCCTGTTCTGACACCCGTGACCTGTGCTGACGCCCGTGACCTGTGCTAACCCCCGTGACCTGTGCTGACACCTGTGACCTGTGCTGACACCGTAACCTGTGCTGACACACGTGACCTGTGCTAACACCGTGACCTGTGCTGACACCGTGACCTGTGTTGACACCCGTGACTTGTGCTGACACCGTGACCTGTGCTGACACCCGTGACCTGTGCTAACACCCGTGACCTGTGCTGACCCCGTGACCTGTGTTGACACCTGTGACCTGTGCTGACACCGTGACCTGTGCTGACACGCGTGACCTGTGCTAACACCCGTGACCTGTGCTGGCACCGTGACCTGTGCTGACACTCGTGACCTGTGCTGACACCGTGACCTGTGTTGACACCCGTGACTTGTGCTGACACCGTGACCTGTGCTGACACCCGTGACCTGTGCTAACACCCGTGACCTGTGCTGACCCCGTGACCGCCTCCGGCCGCCAGCTGATGCTACTCGGCACGGAGGACGGCCTGTACTCGCTGTCGCTCACCGACGGCCGCACGGAGCGACGCATCAAGGTGGACGGCTTCCCGCCTGTGCTCATGATGAGGGCCGTGCCCGAGGTTGACCAGCTGGTCTTCATCGCAGGTGGGCCTCTGCTGCTGGCCAGGCTGGCCTGCCCAGACCAAGGTGCCGCGCTGGTGCAGCCACAAACCGATATACATACCACCACATCGGCAACACCTGTCTTAGCTGGCTAGCATACGTGTCCAAATAGAAAGAGGGGTATCAGCTGTAACATGGCATAGACTCGCAGGCACACTGGTCAACTAAGATATACCAGGCGAGTTATGGGCAACTCGACCCGCTGGCTTTCTTTTGTGAAATGTACGCGTTAGCCAGCCGAAATCAACGCTGCATTTGCTTGTGTCGCATGTTTTATAGCTAAGGCATACCCCACCCGTTCACACACGTGGGTTTGGTTTAATGCGATGCGCTAGCCCCTCTTTGCCGACCGGACACTCTGGTCATATAGCCATCTAGCCGTTCTCGGTTTAGTGGTATTAGATATACATACATACATCATACATATATATATATATATATATATATATATATATATATATATATATATGTATATGTATGTATGTATATACACACAAAGTCACGTGACTGTTGGCTTATCTAGTGCACGCTTCTACATTGCAAGGCAACGTGGGATTCCGCTTTTGTAACGCATACGTGCCGTGCAAAGTTTTGCTGAATTCGAAAGCGTCCTCTGCTTGGGACTATAGCAAAGAGATTTGGAGTGAGGCATGCGTCACGGTTTCTTCCATGGTAACTCGGTGTCTTCGTGAGCATGTCGCACGTACCCTCACAGCCAGCTTTCCCGTCCCTTTAAAGGCTAGCAGTGCGTGCTCATTGTCTTAAGGTTTCGACTGAAGCGCTCCAGTCTAGACGCCAACATATCTGTCAGCCTCTTTAGTCTGCAGCATCGCGCCGTGCTGCGGGTGGTGGGGGGGAGGGGGGGGGGGGGCTCCGGGCGCGCTCACAGCCGACCGCGGCCGCCGACAGGCAAGGAGCACGAGCTGCGTGTGGCGCCGCTGAACGCGGTGCGCGCCTGCGCCGAAGCGGCCTCGGTGTCGGCCGCCCGACTGGACGCCTGGCGACTGGAGGGCCTGCAGAGCTGCCACCTACTGGCCGCCGGCGCCACCGGCGACAAGCAGGCGTTCGTGTGCGCCGCCTCCTCCAACCGCGTCTGGTGAGCCGCTGACGACGCCTCAAACCGAACGCACTAGGCCACTGTCCTGTCTAAGCGGGCCTGGTGAGGCAGACCTCGCCTCAAACACGTTACATGAGTACCAAAATAAGCGTCATCTGTATTTCCAGCTGTATACCTGATAGGCTACGCGGGCCGCCCGTCGCCTCATTGGCGATCCGTATTCGCCAGGGTCGCCTGGCGCGGTGGGCTGCCTTCCAGTGCCTGTTGCCGGGACGGTGGTGACCGTTGACCGAGCTTTGGTCCGCCGTTCTTTAGCCTATTCCGCTGGAGTTACGACCTGACCACCTACCAGCTGGTAAAGCAGTTCAGCACGCAGGAACCGGCCACCTGCCTGCACTTCACCTCCAGCTCCATCATCATCGGCACCGACCGCTTCTTTGAGGTCGACCTCTGCAACTTTGCCATTGAAGGTCAGTCAAAGCAGTGGTTGCCTCCAGCGTTCTGGCGGAGTCAAGTGTGGATCGCACGTCAGCGCCAGTGCTGAGCACTTGGAGCGATGTTCGGACACACTGGTACTCGACCGGTGACAGCATTTGGTTCGCTCCGGAGGCCGGGGAGATGCTCGGACACACTGGTGCCCAGCCCGTGACATCATTGGTTCGCAGTGGCCCCGGGGGGCAAGCAGCAGGCGGCGATGCACGCTGGTCAGTCTGTAAATGTCCAGATGTCCAGATCCGGATGGCGCGATGGCTTGGTCTGGTGTGCTGGATCCGCGGCACGGTCTGCTGAGGCGTGTGCACACCCCGCGAGGACGGGAGACGGCGGTGACGCGGGCGTCGCCGTCGAGCCCCGCCGCTGTCTGCTATGTTTAACGCCGCGGGTCTGACCGCGCGTTGGGCAGAGTTCCTGGACTCGTCGGACGCCAGCCTGGCGTACATCGTGTACGGCACCAGCCAGATGCGCTCGTTCCCGGTGGCGATCCTGGCCGTCTCCGAGAAGGAGTACCTGCTCTGCTACCACGAGCTGGGCGTGTTCGTCGACCAGTTCGGCTCGCGCTCACGCAAGCAGGACATCAAGTGGACCCGCCTGCCGTTGGCCTTCGGTGAGCTCACGGGCGGTGGCTCCGCTGGAGCAGACAGCTGAGAGTCCCTTTGGAACCCAGTGGTATAGACAGGGAAGTTATAAAGAAGATACTAAGGTTTGTGCGAGTGGGTGTGTACTTTTTGACCCAGATGTATTGACACATCAAGCCCTTATCACGATCTGTAGTGTTCGTGGTGTGTGTTCGTGAACATTCTGAATCGGTGTAACGAGCAGTCAAAGGAGGTTAAACCGCGGGTACGTTCAGAGCAACGCTAAAAATGTGTGGCATGTTGTGCCCTCGCTTCACGCTCATCTCTCGCCCTCACCGCAGCGTACCAGGCGCCGTTCCTCTTCATCTTCCACTTCCACGCGGTGGAGGTGGTGGAGGTGGCGCGCGGCTCGTTCCGTGACGCGGACGCGGTGCCGCCGGCCGTCAGCCAGCTGGAGCTGGCCGGCGCGCGCTTCCTGGCGCCGGCCGGCGCCGCCGGCGGCGTGTACCTGGCCACCTCCCTGCCGGCGCGGACCGAGCTGCACCGGCTGGCCGTGCTCAGCGAGGCCGTGGAGGACGCCGCCAGCGTCAGCAGCTGGGCCGACACGGACAGGTGGGCGTGCCGGCCGGGCGGCGGCGGCAGTAGCGGCGGTGTGAGGTCTGGACGGCGGCACCGCGGGGTGGGATGTGCTTGGGATGAGTCGCTTCTGGCTGGCGGTCCTGCTGAGGGATGTGTATTGTTGGCCTTCGCTGGCAGGTGCGGAGTGCTTGAACACGCCCCTGGGCGCCGTGTCGCTCTGTGGCGCACCTGGCCCCGCCCTTGACGGACTGCGGTCCCGCGTGACGCTCGTAACACCCGGCGGACCTCTTCTGCGCGTGACGTGGCGTGACGCGCGGCCGACAGCGCGACGGCTACGGAGCAGACGGCCGAGCCGGACGCCGGCTCGCTGGAGTTCAGCTTCACGCCGTCGGTGATGGAGTCGCTGGAGGAGGCCAGCGGCGACACGCTCTCCATCGGCTCCGACCTCAGCAGCATGTCATCTGGCAGCCAGCCGTCGCGACACGTCAGTGGGGACCGACTCCGGGGCGTCGGTGCGGTGGGAGTGCACTGTCCGACACGTCAGTAGTGACCGGCTCCGCGGCGTCAGTACGGCAGTAGTGCACTGTCACATGTCAGGAATTACCGGCTCCGGGGGGCGTCGGTGTGGCGGTAGTGCACTGTCCGACACGTCAGTAACGCCGGCAGTCGCGTCAGTGGTGGCGTGCAGTGGTGTCAGTGGTACTGCGCCGTCCCGGCACGTCATTACCATCAGTGATGTGATCGGTGGTATCCGTCATGGGTACTGTAGCGTTTCTTCAGTAGTTCACCGACCTGCGTGGGAGATCTGTCGTCAGGGCGGGGGGTTCAGAGCGTTTTTGAGCACGAAGTATCATGCTGCATATGAGCCTCTCAGACTTGTGAAATCTGGCAGGGTCCCCTGCACTACAAGCGAGCTGGCCTGAACGACACTGACTCGATCACTGCGGGCTGGCTCTGTTACATCACGCCACCCGCCCATGGACTGTCGGATGGTGATTCGTTGAAGCCGACATGCCGACGATTCGGGTCAGAGAGCGCTGCTGACCTGCTGCTTCCTTCCGCCCGGCAGGTGCGCTTCAATGAGACCGTGCGGGTTCGCCAGCACAACCGACCTGCTGAGGCGCCCACTAGCGACGCCAAGCGGCGCAAACGCTAAACAGACGCGCTCCGACCGGCCAAGATATTAATCCAGCGCGCGTGGAGTAACGCGCCGTGCATGGCAAGTCGAGGACGTCGGGTAGTTTAATGGCGCCTCGGCCGTGTACTTAAATAGTCGTGTGTTTAGTTGTGAAGTGGACCAGGGAATACAGGCCCCGTGAATGTGTCGCTGACCTGGGCCGAGTGCGACGCCGCAGAGTGAGGACCGCTTCCGGTTGTGATGGCGGACCGCTGAGTTTATCCGCCTTCGCCTGCCGCCTCTTGCCCTTCTGTCTTTCTGTCCCGCCCGCTTCCCGCTTCCTGTTCTGTTCAGCTGTGTTCAATGGTGGCATTATGGTGAGCTTGCTTGCTCCACACGGGCTGTGTGCCTTCCCTTGCCTCTGTGCGCTGACCAGACCGAAATACACACATACGAGTTTCTGTTGAGACTTTCGTCGGACTGAAGCTGGAGACCGCGGCCATTTTCTGGCGAGCTCATGATAGACCGTCGTCAGTCGGTGTGCGCGTCGACTGACAGGGACATCATCGTCATTCGTGGGCCGATTTGTGATGAAGCGGAACATGGCGTGTGCCTACTGCTACCCATATCAATCTCCATCCGTACAAATTGCGTGTGCGTGCGGAGCGCGGCCCTGTCGCATGGCAAAGGGAGGGGGGAGGGGCGAAGCTGCTTAAGTCTGACGCTTCCACCGCGCTGTAGAAGTCGGGAGGGTATGCCGCACCCGGGCTCCCTCCGAAGTCGCGCTGACTATCGCACAGGGCGCCGCCGCAGCGCAGCGGGAGGCGCGGCGTTCCCAGCACGGCACGCCGCCTCTGGAGGGCGGCTGCCGGCGGAGCGACCGGCCGGGGTGGCGCCGACGCTGCGCCGGCCCGTCCGGGGCTGAACGGGCCGGAACGGCCGGCAGCACTTCACTCCCATAGCGTGGCAGTAACCGGACAGTAGCGGAAGGCCTAGGCCGCGCTCCCAGTCATCAGGAGACATGACATCGCGCAATCCGTCAACGGACCGCGCGATGTCGAGGCTGTCGCCCACCTCCTCCAGCACTTGCGTCCTGCCTGGCGACTCTCTGCGTCGGTGAGACGGCCAGAGAGCAGAACCGCTCACTGTACCAAAACAGCACACACATTTTCACCTGTATTTGGCAAAATAAATAGTACATTAATGTGCAGAAACAGCTAAATGACATCAAAATACGGAGATTTCTGCTACGGGCCGACGTGGGACCGGAGAGTGAGTTAACAATTGAAAATAGATGCCTACGGTGGCAGTTTGTGGTGGCGTGGCCAGCGGCTAGACCTGACTAGGGTGCAGACCGGCGCCTCACCCTCCGCCCACCGACACGAGCCCCATCACAGGAGGTGGACGTCCGTCCCGTCCGCCGGCGGCCGCGCGGCTAAAACCGCGCCGCGGGCCACGACCGCACGCGCCTCCCGGAGCCTGCCGGCTAACGCGGGCGGCGCCAGAGACACATCCGACTACACAACATAGCCTACAGAAACGCGATGACTGGACATGGTGCGAGGCGCCGGGCGCGCGCGTGTACGATCTACAGTGTGCTGTATATACATTATACATCTATAGGTGGGTGGGTGGGCGGAGCAGCGGCGGCCAGCGCGCGCCGGCCGGCCGCACGTGTCGCGGTAGCAGCATCGCGGTGGGCCACGGGCACGCGCGCAACGAGAACACTGACGGCAGAGCAGCTGTGGCGCGGCCGGTGGCGCCGCGCCACGGGAAAACACCGCAGTTGTAACTTATCTGGTGGCCAGGAGATGGCAGCCCGAGACAGTCAGGTACCGGCAAAATGGGGCGGGTCGACCGCTACCCACAAGAGATCCGTAGACACATCGAAGCACCAAATACAATTGCTCCACATTTAGAACGGGTTCTGAAGACAAACTGAAATAAGAGAAGTCGTGTTAGAGGAGGCAATGCGCCACCGCTCCATTCAATGTTAATCGCAATCAAACATTAAACCCACCGTGCAGGGCCTCGTCGGATCAGCACCAACACACAGACAAACTGTCACTGTTATACTTGCAGCCAAGATGTGGTGCCACTGCGTCACTTGTCCCGCTTGGACTCAAAGTTACACACCAGCATGGCCCTTCCCCACCAACACCCACTAACCAGTTTGTCTGTGACGGTGCAGCGCCAGTCTCTCCCAGTGCAGCGACCAGCGCCCCGCTTCCCCGGCAAGGGCGCGGTGTGGGTGCGTGGCGTCCCCTTCCCAGCACCCAGTGCGGCACCCCCTCCCCGTTCCCAGCATCAGTATCAGCATCGAGCCCGGTACCTCTTCCCAGAACCGAGTGAGGTACCCACCTTCCCAGCACCGAGCACGGCACATCCCCCCCCCCCTTCCTAGTATCACGCGCAGTACTGGGGATATATTCCCAGCACCGAACGTGGTACCCCTTCCCAGCACCGAGCCCGGTACCTCCTTCCCAGCACCAAGCCCAGCACCCCTTTCCCAGCACCGAGCGCGGTACCCACCTTTCTCGGTGGGCGAGCCGACGGTGGGGCTGGAGAGCGAGCTGGACGCGTTGACCGTGGACGACACGGACAGCAGCGACGGACAGGCGGGCAGCTGGTCCGGCTCGTGGTCGCCAGCCGACCAGCACGTCTCCACCATCGCCTCCAGACAGTTGCGGAACAGCTCGGCGTTCACGCCCGTGCTGGTCGACTGTCGGCGGGGAGGCGCGCCGCGTCAGGAGCCGGCACAGCTGTCACGTGGCTGAGAGGCGGCGGGGTGCGGCACACCTTCTGATGGCCGCCGCGCCGTCACACGCCGCTCGTGATCACGGACACGCTCAGAGCGACCACACATCCCGCGCGAGCGAGATCGGCCCGCCCGACTGAGGCCGGCAACGCGTGAGCTCGGCTCGCAGTCCAGCGTTACGCCGTGGCGCGTGCGGCCAGCGCAGAGTACGCCACTGCACACTGCTGCCCCTCCCCCGGTCGGCGGTCCGGCAGAGCCGCGCGGCCGCGGCGTCCATCGACGGCGCGCCGCCCCGGCCCCGGCGGCTGGCCGCTCACCTTGGTGAAGGGCCCGGCGAAGCGCCACAGGCCGCCGAAGCCGTACGCCTGGATCGAGTGCAGCTGCTGCGACACCGTCTCGTGTTCGGTGGCGATCATGTTCTGGATGATGCACTGCACGCAGGTCAGGATCACCTTGTCGTAGCAGTTGGACAGCACCTGGTTGATCTTGGCGTCCAGCAGACAGTGGCTGCGGACGGTGCCGGTCTAGTCAGCAGGATGCTCCGAACCTCCACCGGAACAGTCCAGGAGCATCTGCCTCACGGCGTCCGGGCGGGAGGAGCCTCATGGCGGCTGCTGACCGCTCCTTATCGAAGGTGACCATGGTAGCAATGGTGGTGACCGACAACGGCCAACAGTCCGCTAACCACATGCCAGGGCATATCGTGATACACGACGACAGACAGTCTAAACTGCCGGCTATCTCGACGGCATTTATGACTTGACACGGGAACACGCTCGCTGTATTATTCAGGCTGCCGGACCTTTCCTCAAGCCATCTTGGGTACAGCATGCTATATCACTGCAAAGACGGCGGAAACTGCTCCCACAGCAAGCCCACCTCGAGCCACGAGCCCGTCCACCGGCCACCCGCTCTCGGCGCCCCTACCGCCGCTCAACTCACATGACGGGGAACACCTTGGGGAAGACGACGGACGCCTCCGCCAGGTACTCGTAGAGCACGCGCGTCTCGGCGCCGTCCGTCGAGTGCTTCACCAGCGTGGCCAGCACGGTCAGCGCCAGCACCTGGATCTGCGGGTCGGTCAGCACCTCCGGCTCCAGCAGCAGGTTGTTCTCGTTGCTGACCGAGACGCGCGCCGATCGCTCCTTACTCGGCATGGACGCCGTCTCCAGCTGCCCGCACGACAGTAACGTCAGGGGCGGAAGTGACGTCGAGCCGGCGGGGGTGACACGAAGGGCGGGGGTGACGTCAAGGTCGGGAGTGACGTCACGCGCCGGCTCCAGCCGGAACGGCGGACGCTGTCGGCGGGGCGGAGACGACTACACACAACACACGGCGGCAACGGCAGGTCAGTGACCATCCGCATACCGGCGGCCCCCGCAGCGACAGCGAGGGGGTGAGCGGGACGCGAGTACAATCGCCGCACGACTTTCCCCGGCCGCTATACTGCAGCTGTTTCCTACCACTCACCACCGCGCTCAGCTCCAACCCCAGAACCGGACCCTGATCTGCACCATTCCATCTGCAAAACAGTAGTCTACGCCAGCGACGGGCGACAGCTGGACACAGCGCAGCTGTCGCCGGGCGGACGCACCTTGTGCAGAGCTGCCTGCAGGTGCACCTCCTTCTTGACAGATGGCGTGGGCACGGACGAGGAGCGCTGCGTCTTGAAGACGGGCCGGTGCGGCTGGCACAGCTGCTGCGACTCCAGGTCCAGGCTGCGCCAGGCCTTGCCCTCGTCGCCGCTATCCCGAGCTGCCTTCAGGCCCGCCTGAGCAGCAGGCGCGGGAGTGACGCACGGGGGCCGAGCGGACACGGTTGTGGCGGACGCGGACATGGCACGGACCCAGCACGGCAGACACTGCCAAAGCGGACATGGCAGAGAGGCAGATAGACGTCACGGCAGATGCGGACGAGGACGAGGCGTCGACCGGTCAGACTCCCGACGGGTCGGCGCATGGTGCATGCATGACGTGCACTGATCTGAAGTGACCCGCCTCGCAGCGACACCCCGATACCCAGCATGACAGCAGCCTGGCCCAACGTCAAGACCTCTAGCCGTTCCAGTGGCCGCGCGTGCCGTTCGTGATTCTCTCCCGTGACCGCCCCACCGGCCGCCCGAACTGCGCTTCGGCCCCGCAGACAGGCCGCTCACCAGCCCCGCCTCACCTGCAGCGCTGGGGGCCGGCCGGCGCGCGGCGGTGCCGGCCGCGCCGCTAGCGCCGCCTCCAGGCCCGTCTCGAGCCGGTCCCAGCGGCGCGCTGGGCGGCGGCGGCGCGCGGCTGGCCGGCCGGCGTGCCGTCCTCGCGCAGCGCCGGGCTCGAGCCGCCCGACGAGCCCGGCGTCACGTGGTTGGGCGAGGCCGAGCTGCTCGACTGCTTGGCGTCCGAGGCGCCCTGCCCAGCGACGACGGGTTACGTCGCAGGCGGTGACGGTCACGGTGTGACGGCGGAACAGTCGGAGGCAGATGCCCACGGAACATCACCATTAACGACACGCCGGGCTGAAGGCGAGGCGCAGCAGTTGGTCACAGACCAAGGAAATCGATGTGCAGTACACTTCCGCAACCAACACGAGCACTGCACATGCAAACGCGGCCCGGACCTTTTGATGGTGATGATTGGTGTTTTCGAGCGCGCTAATCTTTCATAGTACGGAAGTAAGGCAGGAATTGCGTGCCTTGCGAAAGCCATGGTGCCCCACGGGTGACCACGCGCTATTCTGCAGGATCCAAATACCCCCGGCCCGCCCTCTGACCGCCTCATCCCTGCCACCGCACTGCCATCCACAGCGTTCCGAGCCACGTCAGGCCGTCGCAGAACTCAGCGGGACTCGAGGAGGCTGGCGTCAGGGCGACGAGCGCGGTGCGCCCTCTCACCTGCTGCTGGAGGAGGCTCAGGTTCAGGTGCAGGTCAACGGCGAAGCTCTCCACCGAGCTGGCCTTGGAGAGCACCCGGTCCACGGAGAACTTGAGGTGGCAGCGTGAGCGCACCTCCTCCGACACGGACACCAGCGCTGCGGGTCAGATGAGGGACGGCCGCCGTAAGCGCGGCTGACAGACTGACAGACACCCCCAGCGCTGCGGGTCACATGAGGGAAGGCCGCCGTGACCGCGGCTGACAGACTGACAGACACCACCAGCGCTGCGGGCGTCACGGCGCGGCCGACGGCGCAGGCCGCCGCCACCAGCGAACACGACCGCCACACTACACACAGACCACCCACCGACAAAACAGAACTGCCATCACCAGACAACCAACAACCGACCCGCCGGCCTGGCGATCAGACAACAGCCAAGCTGGTGGCTACATCACAAGACCAACCAATCCAACCACCAACCACCTGACCAACCAACGCAGCGACGCCTGCTCCCGGAGTCGTGCTGGGAGGCGTCGCGTAGCCATACCGCGAGGCTACGACATGGGACGATGCCCGCTTGTATACGGTCCGTTCACAGGACCCGACCAGGTGGCCCCGCGAGATATGGTGTCACAGAGTAACCGGACAACACAAAGGGTTTCCCCACGAGTCCTTCCCTCAGCCCTGTCACAAAACACGCCCCACCGGCACAGGGACTGGTCGCTCTATGCCAGCCGCGCATCGAAAATGACCTTGCGAGTGACCCCTGCGTGACCCGCCATGTGGGCGAGGCTGACTTGAGGCACGTCCGTCTCGTCACGCAGGCGATGCTGTGCCGGCTGACCTCTGCCCGACCTGTCCCGTCCGCGCTGTCACCCTGGGCGACCTGACCCACCCGTCATGTAGGCGATGTTCTCCTGCGTGACCTCGAACTTGTCGCGGCCGTGGGGCTTGGCCACGATGTTGAGCAGCAGCGTCAGGATCCACGAGGTGCGCGAGACGGTCGTGCAGTCCGGATGCCGGAACCCCTTCATCAGGTGGCCCACCAGCGCGAAGTGGAAGTTGGCTGAGGGAGGAGAGGGAGGAGCCGGGCTGTTAGCCGGCCGGCCAGCAGCGCTGGGTGGTCTTCATGTCACGCCCCGTCAGAACGGCCACCTACCTGAAGCCATTTGTAGCCTCTAAAAGGCAGCAACGCAACGCCGGAAAACGGCGCAGAATGCTTGACCGCGACGGCCGTATTAAGTGCGAGACACACATCACGCATGGCGACGCATTTTCCGCCACACGCATACGGCCAGCACACCATCCATTTGACATGGCTCCGACAGTTTCGTCTCAAACCCATCGCATTATCTACGAAGTGGAAGACAGCGCTGCCCCACCTTTGAAGCTGAGTCCGACTGACTGGTCGAGCAGCTTGAAGTACCACTCCAGCGGCTCCCGAGCCGACATCATCACCTCCTCCAGGCTCTGCCGACACGGCGCCGTCACGAGGGTCAGATCGCGCCGGCCGGCGGCACGCCACACCGGGTCAGCCATATTGGGTCTGGGCACATGCACGCACAGTCACGGGGTGATGCCGAGCTACGCCAAACACGCCTGCGGCCAAACGGACGCGCGATGGCGAGGTGGTGAGTCTCGGCCGGTAGCGAGGGTATCGCGCCTCGACGCGTCATGGATACCCGGCAACAGAGTGAGCACGACTGCCGTCGCGAGCCGATGGGGAATACGACCGTTTCCTTCCGTCCACCCGGCAGTCCGGGCCGACGCGGGAGCGGGACCACATCGGCACGACAACCTCAGTACCGCGGTGCGGTCCGCCGTGCGAGTCAACTGGCGCGCACAGCTGACGACGCCCCGTGTTACAGAGGCCGCGGCTACAGGCGAACGCGGCTCCGCACACTGCGACCGCCGCGCGCGCGGGGCGAGCTGGCACACGCGGCTGACCTCCTGGTCGAAGATGCCGTGCGCGTCCAGCGTGTGCAGGTTCTGCTCGAGCAGCGCCAGGCCGCACGCGTACAGCGACTTCTCGTCCAGCTGCAGCACCGAGATGGCCACCCAGAACAACGCCTGGTGGATCGGCGACTCCTGCGGCACGCCAGCAAGCCACCGATGATGAGGCGGAACGCAACGCAACGCGGCGCGACTGCAATTTTCCACGTCACCCGCGCACGTGGTCACCCAACACCACTCGAACGCCCTTGACCTGGAGGCAAACGCGCCTAACGCAACAATCTGTTTTCTTGTAATCTGTTGATTGTGACACTAAACAAGAAGGCAGCTTGAATGCCCACCACCGGCAGAACGACCCCCGGCCCGCCCAGCGCGAGCCACCCCCGGCGGACGGCTCTGTCGACTCACCGCCCGCAGCTGGGGCTGCACGCGCGTCAGGCACATGATGATGGCCTCGATCAGCGTCATGTCGGTGAACCGCTCCAGCGCCTTCACCAGGATCCGCAGCAGCTGCTTGATGTCGTAGTCGGTGATGGAGCGGCCTGATAAAAACGCGAGGGGTCACACACAGGTGCGGCGCCGCCACCCGAACGACGCGGTCTTCGCCGAGGCGGAGGACGGTATGAACTGGCTTGACGTCGTCAGCAGACAACAGACGCAGCACGTCCAGACCGGCACACAAAACGCGAGCCAGCGCAGGCAGCATCGCAGCATCACGCACCACACAAGCAGGGCATCACATTCAAGACCGGTCGGCCGGTCGCCGGGTCCTGCACAGGCGGTGCCCTACGCCGTCGTGGCCTCTGTCCGCGGCCCGACGGCGTCTGCTCACTGATGCAGCCGAAGACGATGAGCGAACGCGGCTGCAGCGCCGGGTTGTAGCGGAAGGCGAAGCTCTTGGCCAGGTCCTTCCACACATCGAGCCAGTCGCAGTCGGGGATGTCGCGCATGCAGGCCTCCATGATCTCCAGCAGCGCGTCCGTCACCGTCTCCAGCGAGGAGAGCGGCAGCGTCTCACGGTCAGCCGCCGACAGCGTTGAACGGTCCGGCGCCCTGCCGCGCAGGCGGAGGCGGTCAGCGGTGCGTCAGAGCAGTGCCGAGGGGCGGGGACCCACGTGGGGCGCGCGCACACGCACGCACGCACGCAGAATGGCGGGGCCGCCGGCCGCGACCACCCACCCGCGAGTGGACTAGCTCCAAGCCGCACGCCACCAAGCGAGAGGCTCGCCCAGGCGTTACAAGGCACCCACACTCGGACCCCGACCTGGATCAGCAGAGAAGCACACACGCCGCCGTCGGCTCGGACACGCGGCCACGCACCTCAGCCACCGCTCGCCGGGGCTCTTGAAGTTCATGCGGAAGGCGGTGACGGCCGCCGACTTGGCGTTGTGCAGCTTGATGCCGAACAGCTGGTAGAACTTGGACAGCGAGAACTCGTCCAGGCTCAGGCGCAGCACGCGCTGTGTGTCCTCTGGCGAGGCGGGGCGGGGCGGACGGCGTCACAGAGAGTCACGACACGATCAAGGGACGTTCACAGAAGACATGGCCGCAACGCCGCACATCTTCTGAAGTTGACGCGACTGATGAATGCACGTCAGAAAACAGGACGCTTCGTAAGCCCTAGACTTCGCTGAGACTATCCGGACGTTCTTGCCGGGATGCACATGACCCACAGCGTCCGGCCCCGCAACACAGTACTCTCCGTCCAGTGAAGGAACAGCTAAAACGACCTCGTTCACAAACCAAGACCTCGTGATAAACCGCCACAGAATCCTCACATAACCCTAAATCCCCAGAGAATTGCCGCCTCCCTCGAGCATCGAGCGGGCGCCGCTCCTCCTCACCGGAGAACACCGGCTGCGTGCAGGTACACAGCGAGTGGATGATGTTGATGACCATGCCGTGCGTGCTGGCGCGCAGACTGAGCGGGCCCATGCAGACGAGCAGCGTGGCCAGGTGCAGCAGGTACGGCAGGTGGTGCGACACGTCCAGCCGGTTGTTGAAGGACAGCATCAGCAGGTAGCGCGCCAGGATAGCGATTTCGGCCCAGTTCATGTGGTCCTCCAGTCGCGCCGTCGGCGAAGTGCACGTCTTCATCACAACCTGGCGGCACCAACCAACAAAACCGTTCCATCCACACCAGATAAGAAGTGCCGTGGCCAAAACCTGTCGTTACACTATGCTGCGGACTTAAGTCATGTTATATGTGAGATAGGTGTGAAAATACTCCGTCGACCATTGAAAAATGACAGAAGCGCACGATCCAAAGGTATAACACACACAACACGCCTGAGCAGCACAACCGACATGCCGACGCGAGCACAACCAACCTGAATAGAGGCCGGGCTACTCAACCAGCGCTCAACCACATCACCCGATCCACAGGTAGGCGCCACATAGCTCAACGCTTGAGAATCGAAACAATCCGTCCCTCCGTCCCCCCTCCCCCTCCCCACCCCACCTCATCTCGCGCCACCCCGAGCGCGGTCGGCCCTCCCGCCGGCCGCCGTCAACGCACCGTGCAGAGTCGTCCTATGACCTTCTTGGCCACCAGCTGGACATTGGGTGAGACGAGCGCCACGGTCGTGTCGGCCATGATCTCGGCCTGGATCGAGCCCAGACCGCCCGTCACCGAGCGCTGGATGAAGGCGTCCAGTACCATGTCGATCAGGTCGGACACCTGCGGGGGTGGGGACACGAGCGACGGAGTGTCAGCGTCCGGAGACAGCTGGCCCCTGACGGACGTCATCGATAGCACACAGGTGATGGGGTGTCAGAGCGGGATGAGCCCGTCCAGCATCATGGTGACCATGTGAGACGTCTGCGGGAGATCCCAGCCACGCTGTTGATAATGAGCAAGTGCTGCACAACTCGGAAAAATTTGGTCTGGATGGAGGGGTGCATGGCCTCTGCCGTACCTGTCCGATGCTGCCCCAGATCTTGGCCTGGATGGAGGGGTACATCTCCTCCTCCTCGATGGTGAGCGTGATGAGCCGGTCCAGGATCAGCGCCACCTTCTGCCGCTTGGTGTCCTCCAGCTGCCGTTTGGTGCCATCCTCTGAGGTCTTGCAGAACCTGGCGGCGCGCCGGCCCGCTGTCAGGGATCGGCGCCGCCCAGGGCTGGACTGATGAGCCGGACGAGGCCCGACACCGGCCGGTCCAGTGCCACATCAGGACAGACACCGGTCTGTCCAGCGCCACACCAAGACAGACACCGGTCTGTCCAGCGCCACATCAGGGCAGACACCGGCCGGTCCAGCGCCACATCAGGGCAGACACCGGCCCGTCCAGTGCCACATCAGGGCAGACACCGGCCCGTCCAGCGCCACATCGGGGCAGACACCGGCCGGTCCAGCGCCACATCAGGGCAGACACCGGCCCGCCCAGCGCCACATCAGGGCAGACACCGGCCGGTCCAGCGCCACATCAGGGCAGACACCGGCCCGTTCAGCGCCACATCAGGGCAGACACCGGCCGGTTCAGCGCCACATCAAGGCAGACACCGGTGACGCGTCGTCCCACACTCACACGATATTGGCCATGCAGCAATCATTAGTCCACATACATGGACTGACAAGGACGCTCCCATCTCACTGTTTCGTTGCGGCCGGACTGTTACCTGCACTTGAACACCGCCGCTTTGACGGCGAGATGGACCCGACGGGTGGCGAGCTTCACCACTGGGACATCTCTGCGAGCCTCGTGCACACAACCCCACAAGTGGCGGCCTCGGCCGGTGCGGCCGACTCACTTGGTCAGGTTGGGCAGCCAGGGCGTCATGTATTCCAGGCACAGGTGTTTGTGCTCGATGCTCGATTGCCGGAAGCCCTGGATGCACTCGTTGAGGAACTCGAGCGTCAGGTGCGGCTCGTTTTGCGCCAGCTTCTCGCTCACCGACTTGATGAAAATGGTGTTGTTGGACGGTATGCAGAGACCTGGCCGGCAGACGAGACTACGTGTGAGGTCAACTGGCAGCGAGCGGTCGTCAACCCTGGCAAGGTAACTCGAGATAATCGCCGATCTAACATACAGAACAGCCCTTCAGGTTCGTGAGCAAGTGATATCTGAACATAATTGTAAACACTACGACACCACGAAGCAATTCGTTGCAGTCTGGATGAAGTCCTTCCCAAAGATGGTAACTGAAACGAGCCAGGTCAATCCTCTCAGGTCCCTCCCGAATCCTACCCGAAACACAGCACTTTCAGCACCCAGGAATACCCCGTGACATGCCCGTCACAACAGCACCAACTCGTGGTCCTTCTGCCCAGACACGCCGAGGATGCACCCACCTGAGGTCTCGAGCAGCTGGCCCTCGATCTTGAGGTCGAAATGCTGCGTGAGCGCGCAGAGCAGGTTGTAGGCGGCCGTGCGCAGGTTGGGGTCCTGCGAGCCCAGGTTCAGCAGGGCCATGTTGAGCAGCGTGCCCGGCACGTCCTTGGGCCGAATCTTCTGGTGCACCGGCGCCGACACCTGGCGGACAGGCGCGGCGGATGAGACAAGCGCGGCGGATGAAACAAGCGCGGCGGATGACACAAGTGCGACGAACGGCGGCGGGGAGCTGGCGTAGACGGTAGCCGGCAAGCGTTTGGTCTACGACGGATGAGAGGGCCGGCCCAATCTAATGACAGCGCCGCCGCTGGCTTGAAACTGCGCCAGGCTGGGTTCGACTGTAGTGAGATGACCGCTCCCGCACGACTAACGCCGACACTCCCATAGATTGGCCCATGGCCACGCTAAACGTCACCGAGTCACTACTAGACTAATATTCATCAGGCCAGACGCTTCAGACCACGACCTAGGCATCGCTCCTCGGGACCGCTCCAACCCTGCTCCCGACACTGACACCGGCGACGTCGAGAACTTCGCCCTCACCAGACCGGTGCCCCGCCCTCGCTCGCGCGGCAGCGTCCCGCCGCCACTGACCGGCTGGCTGAGCTCGTATCGCTTGCGGATGTGCAGGATGGCCGACACGATGCTGTCGCAGTCGATGTGGATGAAGCTGAGCGGGCCCGACTCGTTGGCTATGGTCAGCGTGAACTGGTTGTCGTCCACCAGGCAGACCTCCTCGATCTCCGAGGCGTTGTACACGTCGTTGAGCAGCACCGAGTGCGAGAGCACCTTGTTCTTCTCGGTGGAGGTCACCTGGATGGCGTTGGGTCCCACCTGGCGGTGCGCCGGGCGAGGTGAGCGGTCGCCGCTCGGTGACGCGTGGGGATGCGGATAGCAACGCTGACCAACACCGCCGCGACACGGGTCAGATGCGGACTGCTGTGGCGCGCGGGGGAGACCGGCATCAGTTCACTTACCCATGACCAAGACATACGCGATCGCCATGATTGAGTGTTCAATACCGCATGCCAGGCTCGACCCGAGCTCCCCAACTGGACATCTGATGCAGACGATCCAGCATAGCTCCAACTATGACCTAGTTTTCGCCTAAGGGCACTCTCGCATCGCGTCCGTCGCACAACATGGACCCAGCCCGTAGGGCAGAAGGGCGGCCGTCGGAGCCGTACCTTGATGGCGACCTTGGTGTCCTTGTGCGAGAGCTTGAGCGCGTTGTTGAACACTTTAAGGTCGTCCTCTAGCGCCAGCGTGGTGGCCGGCAGCTTCTGCTGCTCCGGCTCGATGAAGTCGTTCAGTCGGCTCGGCGTGTCCAGGAACACGATCTTCTTGTTGTTCTGCGGAAAGAACGTCATGACATGAACACAGAGCATCAGGACCTGCGCTCCTTCCCACAAACGAGAAGAGCATAAATGACACGATCGCGTATTTCCAAGCATTGCAGAGCCGTTAGTTATTCCGGCACCATTGTCCAACAGATAAGCACGCGTCCCGACGGGCAGCTGGGCGCCTGATCAGTCCGGCGGTCCGATGCGCGCTTACCTTGAGCGGCGCCAAGATGCGGTCGTGGTACTTTGTGTACTCGCGCACCCACGAGTTGGCGTTGTAGATGTAGGCCCAGTGGATGTTCTCGTAGGCCACCTGGGGCAGCACGACGAACCACTTCTGCAGGAACTCGGTCCTGCGGCCAGGAGGGTGAGGGGCGTGTCACGGGTGTCACAGGGGGGGGGGGTCACGACGAGGCGCGTCACGTGGTCTCACAGACGATCGCCGGCGGCGAGTGGCCGGCCGCACCGCTGGCTCCACAGCTTAGCTACCGCGGCGGTGGCAGGCCCGCACACTGGAGCCGCTGACGGCCCACTGCCCACCTGCCTATCACGGCCGCAACAGGAGCCGAGGCCATCACCACCACCCGTCAGCACAGCCGGCCGGCGCTACCATCCGGACTGCTCGCCCCGGCCGACGGTCTCAGACGGGGGCGTCGGCGGGGCGGCCCCGGGAGCGCGGCGGGAGGCCGGCGCCTCACGCACCTGAACCGGTTCTCGCTGCATATGTGCGTGAAGTCGACCACCAGCTCGAACGGCTTGTGGTAGTACGGCTTCAGCGTCAGGATCACGTGGTAGATCAGCAGGTCGCCGTTCGTCTCCCCGATCCTGGGCACCACCAGACGTGACAACAGAGCTGCTGGTGTTGACTGCTGACCGAGGCAGACGCACAAGAGGAAAACACCTGGCGTCCAGCATCCCGCATAGCCCGCACTAGCCCAAGAGCAGTTACCCTGACAAAGGCAAACACTGGAAGTCCGGAACTCTGACAAAACAAACACTCATGGCGACGACCGTTATGTTCGCGTCAACAAATCCTTTCACTGGATCGGTGACTGCATGAAGAAGTAAGTCCCCATTGTTCACTGTGGGAAAATAATCCACTCCGACGTTTGCCCCAAGGCAGGTGGCCGCTGGTGTGGTCATCAACACTGACTTGTATCGCCTGGCGATATAGTAGAAGACCGGGTTGCCGGCCTTGGACGTGCCCGCCTGGTAGAATATGCTGAGGTTCTTGATGCACTTGAACTCGTCCTTCTCGTGCATGTTGTGCTTGGACATGACCTCCTCGAACATGGTGCTCGTCATGTCCATGCTGTTCCACCTGTCGCCGTCCGCAGGCAGTTACAGCTCGTCCAGCGAATGTACGTGAACTGACAGAGGCATCGTGGATAAGCAGCCGATGCATTTACATGACGCTCTCTGGAAAGCGATGTTGCTACCGTCGAAAGGACTGATGCTTCACCATAGCACTGCTTAAAACAATTATCACGTAAACGACAAATCTTCTCATCCACAATGTGTACCCAACGCAATCCCAACGTGGCACGTGGTGAACGTTGTCACCCCACCAGCCTTCTCACTGCCAGGGGTCCGGAGCTGGTAACCCAGGCCGCCCGTCCCCTCTGGGCCAGGCCGGAGCAGCCTCGGCCCGGCAGCGCCGCCGGACGCCGCCCCACTCACGGAAGAGGTAACCCAGGCCGCCCGTCCCCTCTGGGCCAGGCCGGAGCAGCCTCGGGCCGGCAGCGCCGCCGGACGCCGCCCCACTCACGGAAGAGGTAACCCAGGCCGCCCGTCCCCTCTGGGCCAGGCCGGAGCAGCCTCGGGCCGGCCGCGCCGCCGGACGCCGCCCCACTCACTGCGAGTCGAGCGGCTTGTGCTCAGGCGGCCCCAGGTACGCCAGCAGGGTGGCCATCTTGTCGAACGGCCGCCGGCCCACCGCCTTGTGGTCCCGGCTGCTCGACAGGTACTCGCCTGCCGGCACCGGCGGCCGCAGGTCAGAGGCGTGCTGGACGGGCCGCACCCGACCGCCGGGATCGGGACACTCGAGGTGCGGCGCTGGCAACGCCGCGGGGTGCGGCGCCAGGCCACGTTCGACAATTGGGATAGAGTTGTGTGATAATTCATCCGCAGCTGCTGACATCACAACGGCGGTATTGGCAACACGCGGTATTTGAAGGGTAATTATGTGGGCTGCATACTGTGACCACCGACACAAAGCGATCCCGTTCGGGCATCCCGTTCCATCGCTGCTTCAAGGCCAGCGTCGCGTCTCTGCAGCTCTAAGGCCCGACACGACACCTCGTGCCGGACACGGACACGGACACGGACACGGACACGGACACGGACACGGACACGGACACGGACACGGACCGGACCGGACCGCACTAAGCGCCCAACTGACCGATCTTCTCCTGATGGTTCCAGAGCAGCCGGTGCAGCGCCAACACGTTGGCGTCGCTGATGAACGAGATGGAGTGGCTCGCCTGGTCCACCGTCTCGCAGTCGGACGCGATCTGGATGAAGAACCTGACGAAGCACATGCCGGTTACCAGTCTGCCCCGCACGACATAGGCATGCCTGTAAACGACAACGCCGTCCTGAGGTACACAATGTATTTATCTGCAAGTTGCACAAGTCACAACACATTGTGCACCCCTTTTTATGGCAAACTCTTCCAACGCTCCACAGCAGCCAGCAAATACGTGTTTGTACACACAACGTATAGCCGACATCACATACGCGGACCAAGCTACCACTGATTCATCCAGAGCGCTCGTCCGCCGCGCGCAAACATCACCCACCGCCTGCCGGCCTCGAAGTTGCTGCGCAGGAAGTCGTTGAAGGCGAGCATGTGCTGTTCTTTGCTGAACTCGACGTGGTTGGCGATGCTCTGCAGGATCTTTGACATGAGCATGAGTCCGCGCTTGATCTGGGGGCCTGGCTGCCGGTCCACGATGCCCATCTCGTACGGCGTCACTGGCGACCGCGGGCAGGAGGCGCGTCAGCCGTCGGCGACGTCACCAACATGGACAGCGCGGCCAGCCCAGCAGCCCTACAGAGTGGCAGCGGCGGGCGGCGCCAGCTGGCGGCGGGACATAGCCCCTGCCAGTCAGACAACGCCGCGTCCCCCGGGCCTGTAGCCAAAGACAGCACACAGCCGACTGCTCGGATGGGAAGCGCCTCTTCCCCTCCCTCCCCCCCTCCCCACCCCCGCCACGATCGTACTCTGTACCGGCCGCCACCCGTCCGCCCGGAGCGCACCGCGCCCTCGGCAGCCGAGCGTCCGCAGCTCGCGCGGACGGCGACGCCGCCGGCGCCACTTACCAATGGCCGGGTTGATGAAGCGCAGGAAGATGACCGTGCCCACGGCGCCGATGTTGTTCTGCGGGAACTGCGGGAACCGCTTGCTGAGCACCTGGTACAGGCAGTGGCACATGATGCGCAGCTGCGACGGGAACCTGTCGGTCCAAACACGGATCAGCCGGCGGGTATCGGGACGGGCACACGGGACAGCCAGCGGGTACCGGGACGGGCACACGGGCCAGCCAGCGGGTACGGGGACGCCGGACATAAGGGTCAGCCAGCGGGCACCGGGACGCCGGGCACACGGGTCAGCCAGCGGGCACCGGGACGCCGGGCACAGCCACGGCGTCACTGCAGTCGTCCCATCAGGACGCAGCGCGAAAGCCAGCGGACGCCGCCAGCCGCCAGTCACGACCGCGGCACAGCCGGCGGGCCGGTCCGCACCTGTCCGCCGACGAGATGATGCCGTTGAACACCTTCTGCGTCAGCTCCATGAGGTTGCTCCTGTTGTCGTCGACCGTCTCGGCGCCCTCCAGCCGGGACGGGTCGACCTCGTACCGCTTGTTCGGTTCACTCATCAGGTCTGTCGGCGAAAACGCGGTCAAACGAACCATCCGAACGCTGTCACCAACGCGGCATCAACACGGACATGGCAGGACAACGGTGGAAGACACACACACAGGGCTGTCCCTCTCCGGTCTGTCCACTGGAGTCACACCCCTCTCCCGTCACGATACAAATAACGGAACTCTTCGCTGTTTGTATCTGTAAGTCACAAACAAGATTCACTACCAAGCGCACACCAACCATCCTTGCCGCAGATAACTTCACCAGGTAAGGCGCGTACCACAGTATGCGTGACAATATCTCACGCCCTCACAAGAAGCGCAACGAGCATCAAACATCACTGCGACGTCGCAGACATACATGTTACAACGTCGCGGCGGCTCTAAGCACGCGCACGACCGGACGGGGAGCCGGACGCACCCTTGATGAGCGGCTCGAGCATGTTGTGCAGGTAGCTGGTGCCGTAGATCTTGAAGCAGAACGCCATGATCTTGGAGCCGAGCGAGTTGCCGCGCAGCAGGGTCTGCATGCAGTCGGTGATCTCCACCTCCTTGTAGAACATGTTCCACAACAGTTGCGGCAGCAGGTGTTTGGCGTCGAACAGCGTGACGAAGACGCGCGCCAGCTCGTCCTGCGATCACAGCCGGCTCGGTCAGCGTCGGCACGGTCTGCTCGGTCAGCGTCGGCACGGTCGGCTCGGTCAGCGTCGGCACGGTCGGCTCGGTTAGCGACGGTACGGCACGGCCAGATTGGTCAGCGACAGCACGACGCGGCTGCCCCTGTCAGCGACGGCACGGCACGGCACGGCTCGGCCAGCGACGGCACGACACGGCCCGCTCGGCCAGGGCTGTTCAGGGGGCCCCAGTCCGCCCATGGCACACATCGATCGACAAAGAGGTCACGCAGGGTCAGCATGGCTCCCCTGCTCCCTCAGCACGGCCACAGGACGCCAGTGCGGTACTGGGGCTTTGTGTGTCATTGGGGCTTTACGACGCACTCAGCTGCTGCGGCTATATGGCGTCACCTGCCTCCCACCCTGGCAGGAAGGGCGGGCACCGCGGGGAATCGAACCCCGTACCTCTGGTTTCCCAGACGCGCAGTGGTTAGCGCAGACGCGTTAACCACTACACTACCGGCACCCCTGGGGCTGAACGGCGTGACCTGCCTCTAAGCCTGGAAGGGAATGTGGGCACCGCGGGGAATCCGACCACGTACGTAAGGTTTCCAAAACATCCAGGGTGACAACTGAACTATCAGCACTCCGCGGAGACGACAACTGAAGGCCTAGAGGTCACACAACGTGTACACAAGACCCCAACATAGAGAACGTACAGGGGGTCAGTCCACTGAGCTGCCGTCGATAGTCAGCAGGAGGTTACAAACATAACTCGAACGCAGCCTGACGGCGGCTCACAGGCTGACCGAGGCCCGGGCCGGTCCCCCCGAAGACCAGGCGGGCGGCAGCCGGCCGCAGCACGTCATCCGCCGGCGGCGGCCTCACCATCTGATTGGTGGTGACCACGCTGGCTAGCGCCATGGCGATCGGCAGCTCGCCCTTGTCGCCGATCATCGTCACCAGCTGCACCAGCTGCTCGAACCTGCCCGCGGCGTCACCGCACACACCGTCACGGTCGCCGGACACGGCTGCCCCGGCGTGGCCGGGGCCAGTCGGCCAGCGGCGCCGGCGGCACCGGCCGCCCGAGCTAGCCCGCCGTCACCACACACGCCGTCACGGTCGCCGGACACGGCTGCCCGGGCGTGGCCCGGGGTCAGTGGGCCAGCGGCGCCGGCGGCACCGGCCGCTCGAGCCAGCCCGCCGTCACCACACACACCGTCACGGTCGCCGGACACGGCTGCCCGGCGTGGCCCGGGGTCAGTGGGTCAGTGGGCCAGCGGCGCCGGCGGCACCGGCCGCTCGAGCCAGCCCGCCGTCACCGCACACACCGTCACGGTCGCCGGACACGGCTGCCCCGGCGTGGCCGGGGTCAGTCGGCCAGCGGCGCCGGCGGCACCGCACACACCGTCACGGTCGCCGGACGCGGCTGCCCCGGCGTGGCCGGGGTCAGTCGGCCAGCGGCGCCGGCGGCACCGGCCGCCCGAGCCAGCCCGCCGTCACCACACACGCCTGCCTTCCGTCACGCGACATATTTTGCACACAATGCTCCCCAGTGAAAAATGTGTATGCACAGTGCATGCGCATAGTGTATGCACTCAAGTAAGTTATTGTTTTTGGGAGGCTCGCACACAAAATGAAGTAAGATAGCGTAAAAATCTAGGCAATAGTCTAAACTCAAGAAACGGTATACCACATTGGCAACATTCTCAGACATGTGACATATGCGCCCGCAGTCTGGATTGAAGCCCTTCTCAGCGGTGACGCCGGCTCCCGGCCTGACTGACCTGTCGGCCAGCACCGTCTCCGCCAGCATGTTGAACTCGGTGCCCTGCTGCAGGATCTTGGTCAGCACCTCGATCACGGCCGCGCGCGTCTGCAGGTCCTTGCGGTACCCGAGCGCTGCCGACACACGCGCGCGCGGTGACAGCCGACACACGCTGCGGCTGAGCCCCGGCCCGCCCCGCGGCTCTGCTCCCACAGTCTGTCTGATCGCCGGCACCGGCGGCCGCGGCAGCGACGTCAGCCGACACCAGCACCGGCTGGCAGCTAACGGAGATGCCAGCGGGAGGGGACGAGAGCGGCATTTTCCGAAGCTCACAAAGCAATATAAGCCGTGCGCTAGGAACATCATGGCCACGGATCCCGAGATCAAGGATCTCAAAATAACGGGACTGCCCTGCGTCAACGTGTGTAAAAACGGTTGGCAACACTAAAAATAACTCATAATTGGGGCTTTACATCTTATCGGCTGCCAGCGTCATTTGGAGATGGGGCAGTTGGTAACAGATCAACGAGAAGACAAAAGGTTAACGAGACCACATGGCTGGCGCCAAGCATATTTCCCTCACTCTTACACAAAAGAGAAGCATGACACGCTTACGGGCAGCGCACGTAGGCACACGCACCCATCAACCAACAAAAAGTCATCATCAGCACCAGAATCCTTCTCCACAAGCTGTCGCTCAGCTCAGTCCTCTCTACCCCACCACCGCTCGCTCCGCCAGCGCGGCAGACGCCGCCGGGCGGCTCCGGCGGGCGCGGCCTCCACTCACGCAGCGACCGCCCGCTCCGCCAGCGCGGCAGACGCCGCCTGGCGGCTCCGGCGGGCGCGGCCTCCACTCACGCAGCGACCGCTCGCTCCGCCAGCGCGGCAGACGCCGCCTGGCGGGCCCGGCGGGCGCGGCCTCCACTCACGCAGCGACCGCCCGCTCCGCCAGCGCGGCAGACGCCGCCTGGCGGCTCCGGCGGGCGCGGCCTCCACTCACGCAGCGAGTAGCTGAGGCCCGAGTCGATGTTGGCGCCCAGCAGGTTGGACATGGCCTGGATGGTGGCGTTACGGAGGGCGGTCGACTCCTCCGTCTGGTAGCCGTGCTCTGACACCTCCTTCTCGCCCTGGGACTCGGTGTCGTTGAGCAGGTTCATGAACAGCGTCAGGTACCTGCGCGCAGAGGCACGGGCCGCGGCTGGAGACGCTGAGTTCGGGGCTCGCCGCAAACCGGCGCTAATAAGCGAAGTGTGCTTCAGGGTAGCTTACCATAGTCACACTAGTCAAATACTAGTCATATTTATCGCGAATATCTGTTTCGTGTAAGAACCACTTATTTGCTGACACATTACTTATATCATTACTTAATAGCTTATACTGATCAGCCCATTACTTATAAAGTTATCACTTTTACCTATTCAAGAGCCAGTACACATTGGGCATAGGCCGATCAGCGGACGTACAGCATTGGCTGCGCAATTACAATATACATTGCATAACGCTGGTCTGCCCTATGGGGATGCCTCGAACACACTTCATATAGTGCCGATGCGGGTCACACGTATGTTATGGGGAGGTCCTGATGAATACCAGCAGCAGCCATTCTGTTTTCGCTCCGGTCAGCACCAGCGTACGGACGTCAACACAGGAATAAACAACACCCTGTCGTCGCGCCCCGCCTCACATGTCCCTGTCACACCCGGATGAGTGGGACGGGTGTGACACGAGCCGCCGATGCTCACTTTGAGAAGAGATCGGACTTGGCCTCCATGAGGTCCCCCCGGTCCGACTCCTCGGCCTGCAGCGGCAGACCGCGCAGCAGCGCCGCCACCGCCTCCATGCAGGCCTGGTCCAGCATCCTGATGGAGGCCCGGCTCATCACACGGAGCGACTGCACACGAGACCGCCGCCGCACTCAAACGCGGCTGCTCTCAACATCTCGACACGGGCAGGGCTCATCACACCAAGCGGGCGGACCGGGCCTCCACCGCCTCCACACACGCCCGGTCAAACATCCTGACAACAGCAGAGGACGCACGTGGCTCGGAGACTGCTCTTTGTTATATCTCAGGACACGCGCATCGATAGCGCCGAGCGCGATCAACATCCACTGCCAACACCTCCACTGCCCCGTGCCGGGTGGCATCACACCAGAGGCTTCAGCCAGTCAATGGCTAGCACGGGTGTACGGACAATACCTATTGTGCACGATTCCATGGTGGATTCTGAGGATTCCGCACCGAGTAGACTCGCGACATCCTTAGCACCAAGCGCGATACATATACAGTGCCGACACCACCACGACAGACCCGCAGCGCCCAGCACTCTCCCGGACGGAGGTGCCCACCTGGTGAGGCTGGTGACGTCGCCGGAGCCGGGCGGCGCCAGCTGGTGACTGTTGCCCATGACCCAGTCGGTGAGGTACTCGACCATCTTGTTCCTGAACTTCATCTCCTGCCGGAAGGCGAGGTCGTCGCGGTGCTGCATCATGCGCTCCACCAGCTGGCACAGCTTGGTCTTGATCTGGATCGTGTGCACGGTGATGTCCAGGTAGCGCACGTACCTGAGGACCGGCCCGGCAATGAGCGGCGCGCGGCCCGACGATAAAACACAGCCGCTCGTCCGAAAACGGGAGGAATACCTGGTAACGTCCCGCGAAATCCAGATGGTCTATCCCACTCACACCGCCTAAAACAGTGGAGATACAGACAACACAACGCAATGAACAGGAGGTTATGCGCTTCCAAACACATCCACGTCAACAAACACATCCCAACAAGTGAAGAGCGTGTTGACGTGACAGTCTATCCTTTAATCCCAACAGGGCAAACCCGTGCTACGACACCAGCCAGTCATCCCCGAGCCGGGCGGCTGACGTCCAGCCGCCGGCCGGGAGCCGGCCGGGAACCGGCCGGGTGCCGACCGGGTGCCGACCGGGGGCCGACCGGGAGCCGACCGGGAGCCGACCAGGAGTCCACCGGGAGCCAACCGGGAGCCGACCGGGGGACGACCGACAGCCGACCGGGGACCGATCGGGAGTCAGCCAGGAGCCGACCGGGAGCCGACCGGGAGCCGACTGGGAGCCGACCGGGACCCGACCGGGGACCGACCGGGAGCCGTCCAGGAGCTAACTGGGAGCCCGACCAGCTGGCCGCCCCGCAAGCACCAACAGCCGACTCAGCAGACGTGTCCGGAGTCCGTCCCACCTGACGATGCAGAGCATCATGGCCTCGATCGAGCTGACGCCCAGGTGCTCGGCCGGCTGCTCCATCTCGTTCTCCAGCACGTTCTTCATGATGAAGATGATGTGTTCGATGAACTGCGTGTTGTTGTCGTTCATGATCACCTGCCGGCGGGGGCGCACCACTAGCATCGGCAAAGTGGCCAGCAGCGTCATCCCACCACCGTATTTATCCAAAATTACGCAACATCTGGCTGCATTATAAACTTAACTTACACTTGGTATACATGAATTTAGCATTATGCACCTGGCTTCGTTGCACACTGAGCCGCTGGAGAACAGATGACGTACACTCCTCAAAAGGACTGGGTCCTCAATGCAGGGAACGCTTTGCGAGAGCCGGAGGGGTCACCAGCTCAGCGAGCCAGCCCGCGGTGCGGCTGGCCCCGACACCACTGCAACAGGCCGTCACAGGCGTAAACTGGACCGATAACACGTGACAGGCCCGTGACTGAAGAAGTGATCGCTGGAACACCTTTCGAAAACGTCGCACACCTGTCCCTGAGAGTCGAAGAACTTCTCCACTATGGCCTTGATCTGGTCGAAGAGTATGGGGTACAGGAGGGGCGACATCTCGTATCCGACGAGATCCTTCACGTTCTTCTGGATGGTGGTGCCGAACTTCTCGTGGGAGCACACCAGCAAAGGGAGCAGATGGCCGATGAACCTGAAAACCATTGGCACGGTGAGTTCATGGCCTGACCGGCCTATCGTATATCAATGATCGACAATGTTGAACATAAAATATTCGCTTCAGAAATATACGTTGCACGTCGCGCACATTCACAAGGTGTATTCACTCCACATCATCTATAGCTCATACCATGCCATGCTCTGTCAGTATGTTTTGTGACACCCTTTCCAAAGAAAGCTAAAACCTACACCCACCAGCTACCGCTAAATATCTAGCCAGCTCCCCATCACACATCTCAGGTACAAACAACCCAGCGATCCCCACGAAATGACGCAAGGAAGCACACCAGATACCTGACAACGGCTACTGCGTGGCGCACTCCTGCTGCGCCCAGCCTCCAAACACAGACACGGACCGCTCCCCTCCCTCCCATCGCTCACGGCAGGCACTCACTGCGTGACGGGGCAGTACTGCACGTCCTGACTGGAGCCGGAGAGAGCGTTGTACTTCTTGGCCGCGTCGGACAGGTTGCAGTTGGTGGGCGAGCGACTGGCGGCCGGTCGCGGCAGACACACGCCGCCCAGCGAGCACAGGAAGCCCGTCATGTTGGCCCACTCGTTGATCTGGTCCTGCGGGACGCCGCGCCGTCTCAGCTACAGCTGGCGCCTCAGCACAGTCGGCGCCCCAGCTACGGTCGGCGCCTCAGCTACAGTCGGCGCCTCAGCCACAGTCGGGTCTCCCGTCACCATCAGCTGACTCCGCCGACGCATCCAGAGCGGCACGCTACGCCTGGCAGTGCGGAGAATGCCCGCGCCTCCACGCCCGCCCCGCCCGGGACCAGGCCACGCGTGGGTCCGCCCGGCAGACGAACCACGCCCGTCCAGCAGCGCCGGAGTCGGCGGGCGCTCCCGCCGCACGCTGGACCGCACAGCCTCCGCGAGCCGGTCGACCAGCCCTCACCTCGAGCTCGTGCTCGGACGTCTGGTGCGAGGCGCGCCGCTTGCCGGCGCTCCGGTACAGCGCCTCCGACAGCTGCGGGTCGTCCACCTTGCCCTTGTTGAGCACGTGCAGCCGCATCACGTGGTTCCACTTGTTGTAGGTGTCCTCCCAGGCGTTGAGACCGCCGGGCGTGCAGTACTCGACGCGCCGCAGCAGCGCCATGATGCGCTTCTGGAGCGCGGCGCGTCCTGCGGCGCCGGCCCGCTCCGGTCAGCTCAGTCGCCGCCGGCGCACGGCCGCCGCGCCGCTCGCCGCCGGCCGGCGTGTGGTGTCCGACCCCGACGGACGCGCGCGCCACCAGACGGCTGTGGTCGGTCAGCGACGGCCGGCGCACCAACAGTGTGGGGCGACACGGAGCCGGATCTGTCTCGACGTGTTTACGCCACGCAGATGTTATGTGAAAGTGTGGGTAACAGATACTTGTCACCGGTGAGGGAATGACGATTAAGTTCACGATGGATGCACTGGCTGGTAGGCCCAGCTCAGCCTTGATCTACGTCTAGGCTAGCGTGTGACTCCAACTCAGCAGCTGTCAACAGTCTGCTAAACTGGGTTCGCATTGCATGTTTCCCCATAGCGACCGTGAATTAACAACTCTGATCTTGTGTCACCCTGTAAGAGTTCGGGTCAGGTCAACAGAACGAACGCCTGCGTACTACACCTACGACGACACTACGGAATCGGACAAAATAGAAAGCATGCGGTACCCGGGCAGGTGTACATACGACGGACCATGACACATGCAGCCGCTCACAGGCAACCACCGACAACACCAACGTTCAGAGGACCAGCACCACGTGACCACTGCACGGACGGGCAGCGAGGTCACGTGACCAGACTGCGGTACAGGCTAGACCGCGGGTCCGGACAGCTAGCCTAGCCACGGGAATATGGCGTGCTTCTGCCGGGCTCCGTACCGCACTGCACCGGTGCCGCACACTCCGGCGGTACCGTACAAAGGCATGGGTTACACCTACAGCCCGCATTAGCAGGGGCACTGGACATCTCTTTTTTTGTCTTAAAAATGGCCACCAGACAGTAGTTAGCAGCTGGAATAGACATCACGCCAAAACAAATATAATTATCTGTTGGTGTAGCCGCATGACGATTTGCGCATGGCTGAAGGCGTAAGGGAACGCATGGATCTAGGCTACTTCTGGGCACGAGCTTGTTTCCCAATTGAATCTCGCAACGTGGAGTGGTCCGATATCGTGGTTCAGCCTGCCTCGGGTCAAAATGGCATCCGAAGCAAGGAGCGCCATTCAGTCCATCAGAATGCAGCTCACGGCCTTGCGTCAACAGACATCAATCCTGCGTCGTCAATGAAACACAATACTACAGCTGTAAAAGCGCAGACTGACGACGACAGGTAATGTGGTGAGATGGGAGTGGTGGGTAGCTGCTCAGACCATTGAGCCACTAAAATGCTCATGAGCGAGCTTACTTGCGACACCTAGGTACTCCACCGCACATCAGCGACAGGTCTTAAAACGCACGAAAATGGAGACATATTACTCGTTGACGACTTCTCCACGGGTTTTTCAATGGAAGTTTCGCATTGGCGGACGTCAACCAATACTTCAACTCCGTATTTCAACGCCAAAAAACAACAAACCACCAGGGATGGGGGAAGCCTATCTGCTAGCTCAGTGGACACAGCGTTTGACACTCCCCGCTGCGTGACCGGCATGCGGGCTCGACTGCCGACACCGCTTGGATGTAGTTCGCCGCTGACGGCTTACTCGCACATGGTCGCACACGAGCCTGAGCTACGGGCGGCCGCGCCACGGTACTGTGGGGCAGCCTAGAGTCCGTCAGGCGACGCTGCCCGTGGAGCCAGCAGCGGTCTATCAGGGCGGTGGAGCTACGATCCTCGCACGCCAACCCGTTTGCTGGGATTATCACCCCCACACCATGCCGGCAAAGCGATCCGCCAACCTACGAAAATAAAGAAATTGAATTATATACACTTCTGGCGGATGGCTTACCCTTACCGTATGTAAGCTGATGAACACCGATGCCTGATATTCAACGCGTGATCGCGGTATGAAAAGAGAACTGAAGCACCTTACAGTGCTGAACCCCCTCCCCCTCCCACCCCGGCCCACCCAAAACGAGCTAGAACTAGATCAGGTGGCACATAGCTTGTCTTCCGCCCCCCCCCCCCCCCGCCCCCTCCCCAGGCGATTGCGGATTTGGTGGACAGGTCGTCAGCGGCCTGCCCTTGGACAAGGCAAAACGAGACAGACGCCACAACGGAGAGCGGACCCAACGGGGAACGGCCGCACTGAGAAGATGGAGCCCTGGAGAACGGCCACACCTGAGGGTGGCCACACTGGGGAGCGGTCACAACATGGAGCAGAACGACAGGGACAGCCACACCGGGAAGTGCCAACACCGGGGAAAAGGAACACCGGGAAGCGGACCCAACGAGGAGCGGCCACACTGGTGGGAAGAAACACTGGAGAACGGCCAAACCGGGGAGCAGCCATGCCGTGGAGCGGCCACACCGAGGAGTGGCCACACCAGGGAGCGGAGCAATGGGAGCAGCCACACCGGGGAGCGGAGCAATGGGAGCAGCCACACCGAGGAGCGGAGCAATGGGAGCAGCCACACCGAAGAGCAGCCACACCGGGAGACAGTCACATCGGGGAAAAGGAACGCCAGGCAGCGGACCCAGCACGGGGCGACCACGCTGAAGGAGGGGAGGAGAGGGAGGGGGCGAGGGGAGCGCAGCAGTGGGAGCGGGCACACCGACACGACGGCCTACTACGACGCAGCACGGAGAGGCGGCGCGGCGGGCCGCGGCCGGGCGCCGGTCCCATGCCATGCGGGGCGCACGCCGACGCCGTACGTTACCGGCCAGGACGGGCTGCACCGGCGAGCGAGACTCCTTTGTGGCTGGACGAAACGTCACGCGGCGTCAGCGAGAGGCGTGAGCCACGTCAGGCCCGTCAACACGCGAGCACACTGCGCGAGACGCGCGCTGACAAGTCGCACGTGACGTCACTGGGGTGCGGTCGGCGGCACTGACAGGCCGCGAGCGTACCTGTCGTCAGCAGCTGGGAGGCGGCCGCCAGCTCCTGGTACACGCTGTAGTTGGGCAGCAGCTGGTTCACAGTCACCTCGTCCGACACGGATCTGGAGGCGGATGGCGGGCACACCCGTCAGGTAGTATAACGTGTGTGTTCACCAGATGGGGTGGAAAATACGGGATGGTTGATGTGTTGACGGTGAGCATGGCGGCAAAAAGTACCCCGACTTGTCTATGAAGTGAAAGCAAATACCACAGCGACGTACAGCGCAGAAATCGAGAGACGGATTTAGCCAAAGCCTCTGTTCCCGAACACGCCCCTATATCCGGCGCTGTCTGCCAGCGGGCGTCTGAGAGTGCTGCGCACCGGGTCCGCCTCAATGTTGGAGCCGGGCCACTCACCTGATCTCGGCCTCCTGGCAGAGCAGCGAGAAGCAGGACATGGCCACGAGCACGGCGTCGATGTCGATGCTCCACAGGTACATGAACAGCACCACCTGGGGGCGAGCACGTTTCATTGAGCAGCGGCGCAGAGCGGGGGACGGTGCCCAGGCGTCGCAGCACAAGGCGACGCCACTGAACATCCGAACCCGGGTATGCCTGCAAATCAGCAAACCGTTATTTCCGCCAGAACATCTTCCCGCTACATTCACTACAGCATCCGGCAGCAAAACACCACTGAACCGAAACAACATCTTCACCCAAAACATCATCGCACGCACAGCCCCGCTCCGTTCCCACAACCGAGACCGTGCTGGTGGTCGCCGCAGTACGTCGGCGACACGGGCCGAGCGGCGGCCAGCGCGTCGCCACGCCGGTAACGCGGCGCTACCTCCAGCTTGATGTGGGCGTGCTTGCAGATGGCTTGGTGGCTGCCGATGTTGGCGTGGTCGCGGTGCTTCAGCAGGAACGTGTTGCGGCAGACCAGCACCTCGCGAAGCCACTTGAGGATGTCGGTGTAGTTCATGATCTGGTGCTGGATCAGCTTCTGGGTGGTGGAGAACAGCACCTGCGAACTGCACGCGGAGGTCCGTCACCCGATGGTCCAGCAGCGGGTCCACCAACACCATTCAGCCATCCACTACCGCACACGGGGTAGCCGCGGACCGCAGAACAGCCACCGTCTGCCTGCTGACATTCCCGACTGACGGCTGATGGACGGCTGACAGTTCGCTGACTGACCTGACGTCCCAGAACGTGTTGATGACCGACTCCGGGTTCCAGTTCTCGATCTTCTCCGGCTGGTGCAGCACCAGGAGGGCCTCCATGGCCTCGGCCGCCACCTCCGGCATGGTGGCGTTGTGCACCAGCGACACCAGGCCGTTGATCAGTTCTAGTGTCGACGACTGGATCTCGATACCCGTCTTGCCCTGGTTCTGCACGCGCACATGAGACACACAACTTTACACATGTGCAATGCGCACAGCGCACACATGCACTCATACTGCCGTGCGGTGCTACACGCTACGTTCGGTTTATTTTTATCTGTGGCTCAAGGCCACTGTTCTTTTGATAGATATCGGTCGCACTTCTCAGCCACAAATCCCGAACCAAGCAGCGCGAGTCCAGCCCTGGTATTCCCGACCACGGACCGGGACGGGACCCAGGCGGGCAGCTCCCCGGCAGAGGACGCGCCCGCTGCCGAGCGGCGGCCACCAGGCGCGGGCCTGTCTGGGGCGGACCACCAGCTGCCGTACCCCGGGCGGTACCCCGGGTCACAGGACGTCGGTCAAGAGACCAGTGGCAGCGGCGGCGGCCGCAGAGCCCAGAGGCGACGCCGGCGGCGCGCCCTCCGCCGCCGTCGTCGCGACTCACATTGAGCATGAGCATGGGGTCGGCGTGGATGAGCCGGACCATCCAGAGCAGCAGGCTGCGGCAGGTCAGGCTGTCCTCGGAGGCGCGCTCCTTGAACTTCATTGGGTTCACTTTCTCCTTCAGGGCCAGGCTCTGTGAGCACGGCAGTCGCGGATGAGCGGCGCTCGCGAGACGCGGCTCGAAAGTGACCGGGGACTGCAGGAGACTGGGACTGCGGGAGACTGGGACTGCGGAAGACTGGGACGGCGGGAGACTAGGACTGCGGGAGACTGGGACAGCGGGAGGCTGGGACTGCGGGAGGCTGGGATTACGGGAGACTGGGATTACGGGAGACTGGGACTACGGGAGACTGGGACTGCGAGAGACTGGGACTGCCGAGATCATGGAGCGTCACACGTGTCGGGTTTGTTATGTCGGCGCTCGCGATCGTGACAACGGCAGCACGGAGTCAGTCTGGGACCTCTGGACGACACAGGATGCTGCCACGCACCGTGAAGCGGCCCGGATCGTTCATTTTTACGTTACCAACGCTGCGAAGTCCTCAGCGGTGCGCACCCATGGCAGCGGTTAAGCGTATATCCAGCTCAAAAAGCCGCACCCATCACAAGAGAGCATCAGGCCTAAGTGCTTCACGACGTTCAGTTTGCCCGCGGCCCAAGCGCGCCGGTTCCGACCGGTCGGGTGGTGGCGGGCGGACGGGGCCGCGCCGGGGCTGACCTGGATCATCTTGAGCGGCGTGTGCGAGCCGGGCCCCGCCGACTGCGTCACCTTGTTGAGCGTCTCGAGGAACATGTGACGCAGCTGGGCCGAGCGCGAGTACATGATGTCTATCTGCGGCCACCAGCCCAGCCGCGACTGCGTGATGATCCTGGGAGCGGGGCGGCGACAGCGGGTGAGGCTGACGCTCACTGACAGGCGAGACCGGGCAAACCCACTGGTAGACAGGCAGCGACCGGCCACCGGCGTCCGCCGCCAACCACAGTTACTTGGCCGACGGAAGTTAACGTAGTTGGTAGGCCAAATGGCTACAGATCAGTTTTCGATCGGCTGAAATGACCCATTCTCGCTAGATGTTCAGTATCACATTCCGTCCCGTCGTGCCCAGCCCGTCCCATCGTGTCCGGCCCGTCCCGTCGTCCCGGTCCGTCCCGTCGTCCCGGCCCGTCCCGTCGTGCCCGGTCCGTCCCGTCATGCCCGGCCCGTCCCATCGTGTCCGGTCCGTCCCGTCGTCCCAGCCCGTCCCGTCGTCCCGGCCCGTCCCGTCGTCCCGGCCCGTCCCGTCGTGCCCGGTCCGTCCCGTCATGCCCGGCCCGTCCCGTCGTGCCCGGCCCGTCCCGTCCCCGCCCGCGCGCTCACCTGTGCAGGGAGCTGACCAGCACGAAGTGGTACATCGTGGGCGACTGCAGGCTGAGGCAGACCTTGAGGATGTCGTTGTTGTGCGGGGAAATGCGGAAGAGGGCGACGAAGCCGTCGATCAGCAGGTCCACGTCCTGCAGCTGGTGCGAGGGACCGCGAGAGAACGGCTTCGACGTGCTGAACAGCAGACTCTGGCGGCACGGGCAGGCGTGCGACGGTCAGCGTGGCGGGCGGGCGATGGTACCGGGAGCTGACACAGGGGGCACGCGGGAACGGACACAGGACACGCGGGAGCTGACACAGGGCACGCGGGAGCTGACATAGAGTAGGCGAGAGCTGACACAGGGTAGGCGGGACCTGACACAGGGTAGGCGGGGGCTGACAGGGTAGGCGGGGGCTGACACAGAGCACTGGCACAGGGCATGCGGGAGCTGACACAGGGCACTGACACAGGGCACGCGGGAATGACACAGGGCACGCGGGAGCTGACACAAGGCACGCGGGAGCTGACACAGGGCACTGACACAGGGCACACGGGAGCTGACACGCGGCACGTGGGAGCTGACACGGGGCACGCGGGAGCTGACACAGGGCAGCCGGGAGCTGACACAGGGCACGAGGGAGCGAAGGGCGAGCCCGACAGAACCAGCACATACGCAGCTGTCCAGCCTACCGCGACATGCGGAGAGGCGCGCTCTCCTGACAACGTTCCGCGCGAAAGTGCAGACCTGACCGAGCCCATCAGTTCGCTCTCAACCGTGTGCCGGGTAAATCACCACGGCACCTAAAACCCTCACCAAATACCTAGTAACAATAATGCTAAGAAGCGTGCGCTCTACCTTCAGATCGGAGATGATGCTGTGTATGAGTACAAACACGACGTTGTTGGAGTCGCTGGTGCTGATGTAGGTGGCAATCTTGCAGAGCTTCACGCATGCTACCGCGGCCGCCTCTGGTGACACATCAGACGGCAGTCGGTTAGTGCCGATCCATCGCAGAGCTTCGCACTTGCGCTCAAGTGCAGCGTCATGCGACGACAGCGAAGGCATATATCGGTGGGGAAACCGCACCAACGTGGAAGTGGGTGTTGATGTTCAATCCAACTAGTTTACCAGGGGGACGGACCCTGTGTAGCCCGTATCTCCCGCCCGATGCGCCGAGTCGAGGGGCACAATGAGCCCCACAACACCCTTTTCAGAAGACTAATACCAGCCTCCTGTGTACTCAATGAAAACCCCCACATAACCCCTCTGCTGTGTGACGTCAGCACAGTCACGTCCATCGACACATCCCCACCAGCCCCCCTCCCCCCCTCCCCGCCACCCCCCGTGACGGCACAGGTCGGCCTCAGCTCAACTTCCCCGCTGCCAGCCCTTACGGCGGTGCGCCTCTCACCAGTCAGATGCTTGATGGTGCTGTGCGAGCCCAGGTGCTTCTTCAGCGCGTCGATGAACTGCTTCTTCTTGGCGTGCCGCTGCGAGCATGGCGCGCCGCTGTCCGCGTTCACGATCTCCTCCAGGATTTTCTGCCGGCGCGATACCGGACGTAATTTGATGCTCATATAATTCTGATGCTCATTCAAATTTAATGCTCGGACACAACTTGGTGCTCGGATCATTGTATGCACAGGCGTGTGCTTGGTAAACGTGCACATATGCAATGACTACCAAGCGATGGAGAATGTGTATGCACTGGACCACTCGGCGCTGCATAGCAATGAACAAATTACAATTTGCCCTTTTACCATGGCCTATTTTGTGATGCACGGCCGAGAAGAGCTCAACGAACGACAGCAAAGCAGGGGTTCGCGAACACCGGGAAGTGAAATGGCTAATTCACGTAGCAGGCCAGGCCAACGACTCCCAGTGACATCATCAGTCAGACTCAAGAGTAAAAAGCATAACTGACAAGAGAATTGGGATGACACGAGCTTGAGAGCTCTGAGACACACCAGTCCCCTCACACGGGCGTCCCACAGCGCAGACGGGACCAGCACATGCAAACGATCATTACCAAGCAGAGGACGGCCCACCGCCGCCGGGGAGGCACAGCTCAGTACGACAAACAAACGTCAGGACCCCGGGCTGCGACCGGACAGGGCCCGGCTCACCACAGAAACTAGGGCCGGCCAGCCCACTGACCGGACACAGGACGAGCAGCATGATCTGCAGCGGCCACACAGCCGCACGCCGCTTGTTGTTGTCGGCGAACTGGTCCAGCTGCTCGAACAGCAGGTCGCAGAACTTAGCCAGGTCCTCGTTCGGCGATTTCTAGCGGGCGGAAGCGATACCGACATGTCAGGGCGCCTTCGGTCTTAACCCCGCACTCGCCCGCCTTGGAATGCCGGTGCCTGTTCGGGTTTCGGGAGACAGTCGTCCCGTCGCGGGAGTTCGAACTGAAGGTGGTACCACAGTTGTACCCTCTCGCGGGACCACACTCACAAAGTACTCCTCGTTCCATTGTATGGCGGTGAACGTAGCTGACATTCACGAGCAACCCTCGTGCAATCAAATTGAGCCATCCTCAATCCCACCCACACCCCACTACCCCACTTGCTACCCACGACCCTGCCTCGCGCCTCGCGCCCACCGCAGCGGCCCCACCTGCAGCATCATCAGCTCCTGCGGGTACGTGTCCATCCAGTTCCAGATGGCACGCTCCGTGGCGCGCATCAGGTTCAGCTGCGAGTGCTTGTTGAGCGCCCGGAACTTGGAGGTAGTTTCGCTGAGCAGCTTGATCAGCCGTCCCACGTCCAGGTTGATGTGCTGGATGAGCTCGATGTCGGAGAAGTCGGCCGTCTCGTCGCTGCAGCTGCTCAGCTGCGTCAGGCTGCGGCGGAGCCGGGCGGAGCGTCAGGCGAGACAAGTGGCCCCCGGGTCAGACGGCGGTCACGGCCCCCCCGGCCAGACAGCGGTCACGGCCCCCGAGTCAGACAGCGCCCACGGCCCCCGGTCAGACGGTGGTTAAGGTCACCAGGTCAGACGGCGGTCACGGCCCCGGGTCAGACGGCGGTCACAGTCCCCGGGTCAGACAGCGGTCACGGCCCCCGGGTCGGACAGCGGCCACGGCCCCGGGTCAGACAGCGGTCACGGTCACGGGTCAGACGGTGGTTAAGGTCACCATGTCAGACGGCGGTCACGGTCACCGGTCATACGACAGACACGGGTCACGGATCAGACGGGTGGCACAGTCCAAACATCAGACGGGACATCTGGTCACCAGGTCACGACATACGCAGTCACATGCCTGCTGGTCGACGGAAGCGCGTGGGGTGAGCCAGGTTCAGGACCACTGCCAATGGAGACCCGCACTCATGACGCCCTGTCAATAAGCCCACTGACAGGACGTGATAGCTTACCTACAGTGGATGGTAAGCACACCAACAGGGTCTGAGTTTCTACAGAATGGTCCTGCAGCAATGGCTGCAGCAATCACGAAACTGACTGCTAACCACCGAATGGGGAGCACTTTGACACGTGTACTTCGATAAGCACACGTGCCGAAGTTGTCATCGAAGCCACCCAGCGCAAGTCGCAGACTGGGCAGACACACCACGCCATCCCCATCCGCTTGCACAGATGAAGAGGGAAACAGAGGCGTTACCTGGCGGAAATCTTGTTGAAGACGGCGTTGAAGTTGTTGAGACTGAGCGCGAACAGCACCTTGGAGGCGAGCGCGCGCAGCTGGGCCACCATCGGGTTATCGCCGGTGGGCATGTCTGCCGGCACGTACCGCGGCAATATTAGACACTGGGCGGAGGCGGGGTGGTCCGGATCGGACCTTATCAGTGGAGGCGAGGTGGTCGGGATCGGACCTGATAAGCGGAGGCGGGGTGGTCGGGATCGGACCTGATAAACGGAGGTGGGGTGGTCGGGGTCGGACCTGATAAGCGGAGGCGGGGTGGTCGGGGTCGGACCTGATAAGCGGAGGCGGGGTGGTCGGGATCGGACCTGATAAACGGAGGTGGGGTGGTCGGGGTCGGACCTGATAAACGGAGGTGGGGTGGTCGGGGTCGGACCTGATAAGCGGAGGCGGGGTGGTCGGGGTCGGACCTGATAAGCGGAGGCGGGGTGGTCGGGGTCGGACCTGATAAGCGGAGGCGGGGTGGTCGGGGTCGGACCTGATAAGCGGAGGCGGGGTGGTCGGGGTCGGACCTGATGAGCGGTGGTGGGATGGTCGGGATCGGACCTCATCAGCGGAGGCGGGGTGGTCCGGATCGGACATGATCGGCGGCCACGTCAACAGCTGGTGAACAGAAGTTAATGACTGACTGGGGGTTTTAGGGCTTTAGAATGACTGACTGGATGTTTGCGCATAGAATAAAGCTATTGACCATCACTCTTTGTTGAAACTCGTGCATTGGTGATCTCCCTCGCGCTTCGTATTGTCCTTCCAAAACCTAACCTTGATCGTGTCTTAAGACCACGACCATTACCAAAGAGTACTAGTTGTGAGCCCAGCAAGTGTACATCTCGAACTGTGGAACATATAGCAGCACAGGCCCCCAGGAAATGCAAAAGCAAACCGACAATAGCTGGCCAACCACTGCACACCTCAGCCTTCTGGCACGCACGCCGTCGAGTCCAGCAGCGACTGGTCACACTCACAGACAAACTGGCAGATCTCCCTGAGCAGCAGCTTGACGTTGAGGGCCTCGTCGAAGCGGGTCGTGTCCTTGGCCGGCCCGCTGAGACACTTCTCCAGCGTGTCCAGCACGATCAGCAGCGACTCGTAGTAGCTCTTCTCCATGTCCGGGTTGTGCGACTGCAGGGCCAGGAACTGGCGGCACACGACACGGGCGGGTCCGTCAGCGGAGCCCGGCGGCGGTGGGCGACAGCCGCCGGCGACGGCGTGGCAGACGGCGTCCGGGACTGGCAGTTCAGAGGCGAACACAGGTCGGGTGCCTCAGCGGGTCAGGATGAGAACGCAGCAGGAAAGGAGCACAACCCCGGCGCCAATACGCGTGGAGGTGGAGGTGCGACTGAAGACCCAACGGTTAGTCGACGTCCGGAACGTCCGCGGAAGCACCTCCTGTACCAACAAAACAAGATGTTATCCTCCCCATGTAGGCAACAAAGGAAGAATGAGAAGACAGTCCGTCTCGGTCCTGAGCGAGGCGAGGCGAGGGAATGGTGTGGGCATGGTCGCAGAAGGGTGGGAGCTCACTAGCCTGTGGGGAGTTTTCGTCAGGACATTGGCGACTAACCGGACGATGGGATGAGCTGGAGGGACTTGGATTATGTGTTTTGCCTCTGATTTGTTGAAAAGCTGCTGCTAAGGCCTTGGGCATGGTACCGAAGAGGACCGCAGTCAGTCGGTGGGATGATTTCCGACCTCAGATGGTTGAGGACACCAAACAGCACAATTACGCACACGCGCCACGCCTGATGAGCACGGGCACTGCACTCACCTCGCTGATCTTCTGCAGCCGCTTGGTGAGCCCAGAGATCACCAGCGAGAAGCGGTAGTGTGATATCTGGATGAGACTCTGCTTGTTCTGCTCAATGTTGAGCCGTGTGTGAGTGGTCTGAGGCCCGGTACGATATGGCAGCTGAAATACCAGATCAAACATATGTCACTATGTCACTGCATGTCAATGGGCCGCACTCACTCGTAAGCTAACATAGCATCTTCCATTTGATGTCCTTTTGAACTGCAATGCTCCAAGCAATGAGACCAGCAAAAGGTCTCTTGTTACCAGCTGCAAGCATGGCAGGCCATGGACTTTGCTATGCTCACCAGTGGTGCCTGTTGTCATAGCAGATACACCACTTCATGCTGACACATATGCCAAAAATATATGAGCAGCTTCAAAAAATGTTGGCTGGAATCATGCACTACAGCACAGAAAACTGTTGCAAGGCTGTCTTACTAATACCAAGCCTTGCCTTAATGATCAGTTACAAGACATCCAAGAAGACTGCAAGCTGCTAAAGGCATATTGTTCTGTTGAAGTTTTATGCCATCAAACTTTTTTGTATTCCAGACATTCCTTCAAGCCCATGTAGCTAGATGTCAATATTCTATAATTGGTCTCACAAGGTGCATCAAGAAACAGGTGCCAAACAGCCCCAAAGCTTATTATTGATAATGTGTGGCATTGAGACATGACAGGGGATCAGATCAGCCAAGGCAAGACAAGGCTGGGCACCTAATACTTCATCAATGGGGAGTCATCAATCAGATAACAATAAAAATTGCAAACTTTGGCCTGTGCTGGAGGACAACACACTTTTAAAACCAATTAGCAACACAAAAATATTTGATTGAGAAGGAATGCCAAACACATGGAACAGCTTTGCACACATGTGCTGTTCTTTGCAGTAAATACAGTCCTGGGAAGACCAAAGAGGCAATGATGTGCTGTCACACCTCAGTACTGTCATTATTTGTTAAAACTCTTGGGCATTGAAGCTGTGCCAAGTGCACTTCCTTACTTGTTTTCTTTTACCAATGTAAATGTTATATAACATAAAGTGTGCCTTCATGTCAATGATACAGATCAGGTGCATACTCATCTCCTCTTGAGCACAATAGCAGGAGGGGGTGCCTTTATTAAGATCTGAACATGATCAGAGCATTGCTTGGTATCTAAAGCAAGCAGAGAACATGAAAAAAGACAGCCACATGAAGGGGCAGCAGATAACCTCCCAGGTATGGTTAATCATCTTAAATAATAACTTGCTGATAAACCTATAATTTACCAAGAGGTATCGTGGTGCTCATACATATTAGCATCTCTTGGCATTTTACATACTGCTGTGAGTTCCCATCCAACCACATTGCATACACATATTGGTGATTTCAGAATACAAAATAAATTTATTCCTTTTTTTAATTTTCAATTGCACTTCATACACAACTATTGCAACAGTATCTATTATACCACAGAGACAGAAATATCTCACCTGGCTGTCAAACCTAGTGATTAGGGCATTAACCCATTCCACTGGTTTCTGTGTAGACATCCTTCACACCAGATGTCCCAGTCTTGACTCAGCTATGACCCTCTATTCACCCTTAGATTAGGCACCTCAGTCTGGCCTGACATGGAAAGTGCTTCCATGCACTGCTTCTCAGGGTGTCCATCTGCAAGAATGCCCTAACAAGGTTCTTGATGCAGGAATGTATGACTATGTCCCAATCTGAAAAGCAGGGCATTTCTCAGTGAAATTGCATTGGGCCACTTAGGAATTGAAGTGTGTTTCGGGATATATGGTGCACAACCATGACTTTAGAGGCATGACAGTGACCCACACAATGGTTAAGCATAAGCCATGACCTTAAATGTGTAGGAATAAATATAGCCCAACTTATATTGGTACTGATGCAAAATTACTAGATTGGATTAGCATACTGTGTCCCTCAGTGGCAAAAGATCATTGTTCATTAGCATGTTCAGTGTGTTGGGCAATACATACATAACCAAGAGCATTCACAGCAGCCTGCCCTGAAAAATATGCCTTGGTTAAAAGAAACTAACCATTTTGGGACACATTCTATGAAATATGTGAGAAGCATTTGGATGCTGATAGCCTCTCGAATGGCCATGTAATGAAACAAAAGTGATTTGTGCTTAAGTTTGGAAAGTTTTCTCTGACAACACCATCTGCTCAGTATGCTGGCACATCTCTCCTTCTCACTGCTGTCACCAAAATGGACCCAAGTGACAACTAAACTTTGAGCTGTATGATCAAATACTGACACTTCCTTAGACAAGCAAATGACCACCCTATTGCATACACTCGTGTATGCTTCCATAGCCAGTGTATGGGTTATAGTCCACTTGGAAATCCCCATTCTCCTGCATGTAGTTTACTTCTCCTATGACCTTAAGTTAATGACAACTGAGAAAGCATGACGGCATTAGCTGAGAACTGATGATGAATTAGGTTCAATTTTTTGCTTTCGTACAGCGTCGAATCACTAGTTTTTTGGCACTTCTTAATCACAAACCAAACAGAAGTTCTCACAAATGCTGGAAACTCACCCAACTGGGTAACAAGGTTACGAGGGATGACAAACCCACATCCAAAATGAATATAATTAGTACTCTAACTCAGAGCCTCATATCAGAGGCGTTCTCCGCGCGCGCAACCATTGTCAACCATACACAGCCTACCACTGCCTACTTTAGCCTCTTGTGCTCCCTAAATAACGCAACACCTGCAAAGGTAAACATTTATTCTTGAGCTGATTGGCTATTGGAATCTACTAGCACGTCGCACCTGCCATATCAGTAGCAAAGCAGCTTGTAATAGACAATGTGCAAGGGGAAGGAGAACAAACAATACAAAGTACACTAAAGACTACTTAAAATACTGAAAACTTTCAAATGAGCACCACAGCATAAGTCAGAAAGGCAGTATAACTGCAGAAAAAATTAAAATATGGTCTAGCATGCATCAGTATTGCTTGGCTCTCATTACGCCATGTACTTTGGTTTCAGATCAATCTTATGAAAACGCATTTGATCGCCGGTGTAAAAATATAAATTGACGCATATCAGACTTTTTTGGCGCCGATGGTGTTGTGGTGTTGCACGCAGTTGCACGTACGCTTGCGCCCAGGCGGCTGTCCGCCGTAATCCAAGGCGAGTGTTGCACGTTGCCTGTGCTGTGTTTGGGATCATTGCGGCATTGATATAACTGTTATCGAGAATAACCGCAGAAGACCAGGTATCGGCTTTTCATTCCCGGTACGTTTCTTTCACTTTCGGACATATGAATACAGTTACTGGCAGGGTTGTGGCTGTGTATTCACTCGAACTTCACTCAATGCTGCCATGGTCCCTTCCCCCCCCCCCCCCCCCCCCCACCAGCTTCGTTTGGAAATTGGATACGGGAACGTGTGAGGGGTTACTGGGTTTTGCATGAATATGGGAATCGTTTTCAATGTTTGCCTTGCTTAGCCCCCAGCTTTGCAGTGCAGTTTTGATTCAAAGGATGCAGGGGACATGACATGGAAAAGAAGATGAACCTTCTACCAAAATGTACCCAAAAATGGATTTCCAACCAAATTTGGCCCAAGTTCTCTCTGCTTTAAGGCTGCCCCCCCCCCCCCTCAACTGAGTTGTAACACCCCTTCTCCAGGTGATTTTATAGAACTATGACACTTCAGAAGAAAAACATTATAAGATGCTCACTCAGGTATTCTCTGGATAAGAAAAATAGATGCTGGAGGCCTTATTTCCTTGTTGTACTATATTCCTGTTACTGTTTCTGTTGCTTTATTTTTACTTGCTGTAGTGTGTGGGGGCTCCTTCCAGTCTGTGAAGTATGGGTATGTTTTGCTTTAAGTGCAGGGTGTCTTGTGTGACCACTGATGCTTGAAGTATTGTTTGGCTCTTGTGATGGCACATCCAATTCATTGGTTTCAATGCCTTGTTATGTATATTATTGATTGTCCATTCCTTGAGCTGGCCAGCTTGGCCTCAGGCTTTAGTTCTGGTGATGCACTTGATGTGTGGAGCATGTGTAAACATGACTGGGTCATTGGGTTCTTTTGTGTCTTTATGTATGCACATTTTATACCAATAGATAGAATAGATTATAGCATTAAGTTGAAAACATATGGTACATTTCCTCACTCTAAGATATGTTTGTGGTGTCATGCATTGATGATCACCTGTCACTTTGTTTTTTGTTTTCAGATGATGGCAGGCAACTTGGGGCAAGTAACTGCTAGCTCAACAGTTTTTCTTCTCTGTGATGTGCAAGAAAAATTCAAGCCAGCCATTGCACACTTTAACTGTGTTGTGCAGTCATGTTCAAAACTTGTAAGTGCAATGCATGCTCCCATTTTTGATGTTCATTCTTCTCCTTTTTCATCAGCCAACCTTCTTTAATTAATTTAAGCCCACTTAAAACACATGATTCTGTGAAAAGAATGAGTTATCAGTTAATGAAGCCTACTTTAAACACACTGATTTTTGCAAAAGGAACACTGCATAATTTTTTTGAGGGCATATCTGACTACCATTCACCTTAAAACTGATAAGGTTGCAGAAAAGTTAGTGGTGATGACAGTCTCAGCACAGACCTCACTGCTTGCCCCATTTTCAGATAACAGCTGGTCGCATTCTGGGAGTTCCTCTGCTAGTCACTGAACAATACCCAAAGGGTCTGGGCAAGACCGTTCCCGAGCTGGATGTGCAACATGCAGCTGTCGTGGCTGAAAAGACCAAGTTCAGCATGGTCGTGCCTGAGGTGGACGCCGTACTGGAGCAGCTGAAGCCCCGTGTGGCTGTCATCATGGGACTTGAGGTACCTGATGTGAGATGCATGGGACACGCCGGAGCGTGGTGGATGCGGTGACGAGCGCAGTCAGGGTGTGGTGACGAGCGGGCGGTGTGGTGACGAGCGCGCGGTGTGGTGACGAGCGCGGGCAGGGTGTGGTGACGAGCGCACGCAGGGTGTGGTGACGAGCGCGGGTAGATGTGACGAGCGCGGGCAGGGTGTGGTGACGAGCGCGGGCAGGGTGTGGTGACGAGCGCGGGCAGGGTGGGATGACGAGCGCACGCAGGGTGTGGTGACGAGCGCGCGGTGTGGTGACGAGCGCGGGCAGGGTGGGATGACGAGCGCACGCAGGGTGTGGTGACGAGCGCGGGCAGGGTGTGGTGACGAGCGCGGGCAGGGTGTGGTGACGAGCGCGGGCAGGGTGTGGTGACGAGCGCGGGCAGGGTGTGGTGACGAGCGCGGGTAGATGTGACGAGCGCGGGCAGGTGTGCTGACGAGCGCGGGTAGATGTGGCGAGCGCGGGCAGGGTGTGCTGACGAGCGCGGGTAGATGTGACGAGCGCGGGCAGGGTGTGGTGACGACGCGGGCAGGGTTGGTGACGAGCGCGGGCAGGGTGTGGTGACGAGCGCGGGTAGATGTGACGAGCGCGGGCAGGTGCTGACGAGCGCGGGTAGATGTGGCGAGCGCGGGCAGGGTGTGCTGACGAGCGCGGGTAGATGTGACGAGCGCGGGCAGGGTGTGGTGACGAGCGCACGTAGGGTGTGGTGACGAGCGCGGGCAGGTGTGGTGACGAGCGCGGGCAGGGTGTGCTGACGAGCCCGCGCAGTGTGTGCTGACGAGCGCGCACAGGGTGTGGTGACGTGACGAGCCTGCGCAGGGTTGGTGACGAGCGCGCGGAGGGTTTGGTGACGAGCGCAGACGGGGTGTGACGACAAACGGCCGCGGCAAACTATGTGCTGGTGCCTCCTCTGATTGGCCCTGACAGCGTTGTGTTGTGGACAGGCGCACGTGTGCGTGGAGCAGACGGCAGCCGACCTGCTGGCGCGCGGCCACGTGGTGCACGTGGTGGCCGACGCCGTCAGCTCACGCTCACAGGAGGACCGGCTGCTAGCGTTTGACGTGAGTGAGATTCCCTGGTGATATCGGACACTGCAAATGGTGCGAACAAGTCGCGTTACTCACTGGGATAGAGGACTGAAATACTTTCTCTTAGCACGGCGTGATCAAAGTATGCGGTATCAAATGGTGAACGGCGGGGTCGAAATCAGCCTGCCTTTCGTATCTGGCAGCGGTTTACTGCAACAAGCATTCATTGCAGGGGATGACTGACACTGGCTGGTGGAAATGGCGTCATAAATACGTTACTCAATTTTGTGGATAGAGAAGCACGAGGTCGACAGCTAATTTTCCTTCAGCTTTATGAGAAGATAAAATGAAAAAGCATCCGGCGGTGGCGTGACATTTGTTTGTTTTTGGTTTTTGAATTTTGCCCAGCGTGGTATGTAGTATAACTGATGTGTGGTTCTTTATTGAGCATGCGCTATGAATTGGATTACATTGTATTGAATGACGTTGCACATTGACAAGAGTTTTTGTTGAAAGCTGACATCCTCAGTATCACACAACTTTGTGCTTTGAGACTGGAGGCAATGTATTCAGAGACTCGGAGGAGAGATCCATTTCCCATCTAACGGGCATTTGTAATTAAATTTCTTTGAGCACCGAAGCCTCCCAGAAAATTGTGTTCGATGTATCTGAATGAGGGTACATGCTGTTACGCTGTGGGAGACGACTGGGAACGTTCCATTGACAACTTCCTGGAATATCACATAAATGTTCGATCGAGTCAGAATGAATGTGTGGACACGCTCAAGTCTGCTGAATTATGCCCTGAACGTTGCG